GGCTCGGGGAAGAAAAGGAAAACAAGGAAAACTGAGCTGGCGGTGAGGTGACCCTGGTGGGTGCAGTTTCCATGTGCAGCTCTGGTCAATGCCTGCAGGCCACTGGCAAGGAGTTATTTCATAAATTTGTGTCCCAAAAGTTGAAGCATAAATATAATTAATCTTATCAATAAAAAACAGAAGTTAGAATTGGGGGTAAAAATCTGAAAGATTAGAGAAGCAGAGAGAGAGCCATAGTCCCTTCTTACCTCTTTCATCCTCCCTCTAAAAAGACTAAGATCCTGTCTCCTCTCTGTACAGACCTCCAAACCTCTATGGTTAACTAGTGGCTTGCTCCACCCTCTGACTTCAAGTGAAAGACCTTAATTTCTAGGGTTCAGGAAGGATCCCCCAGACTCAATAAGCCATGCCAATGGATGCAAACAGCAAGAGGATTCTTTATTGTTGAAGGCACCAACGGGTGACTCAGCACTCCAGTGAGACTGAGCCCCCCATGTATTTTTCCAGCAAGCATTTATAGGGTCTCAGGGTTACATAACGGGGGAAGCATAGCAACAGCAATATCATTGGTCAATTCAAATTAACATATGGGGCGGGTCAACATCAGGACAAAAAACAAGTCTAGATTAAGTCAGTTTCAGCCAGTTTCTGCCCCCTCGGTTTTCGATATACAAAGGACTGGGTGTTTTTCTCAAGACTGCTTCTGCTGCCCACAGATATCTTGTTTTTACCTCCTTGGCAGGTGTAGTCGGCCTTAAGACTGCTTCTGCCCACAGATATCCTGTTTTGCCCTGGCCTAGTTGATCACAAAAACATCTTAAGATGGAGACTAGGGTTGGGGTCTTTCACAAGCAAGCTTTATTTGTCAGAACACAAAACTCACACAACTTTGGTGCAAGGAGCAGGAGCCAGCTCTTCACGCTGCATCTGCACTGAGAGAGCAGAGGGAGATGAAAGCCAGGGCTTCACTTTTCCACACTGTTGAACTGCTCAGACTGTATCGTGTAACCAGTACAATCTCCTCTTAATGTATACCAAGTCTATCAGTTCTTTTCCTCCAGAGAAACCTGACTAATACAGGTGATTGGAAACTGCTTTTGTGAAAAAGAATAAACTTCTCATTTAGGTCTGCAAGATAACGAAAAAGTATGATGAAATTTTGGCATTTTGTCTCTGTCCTGTTTTTGTCTTAATTCTAGGAATAGTTGGGTCTAGCAGGTCCTTCTCCCTAGATGAGGAAAATTCCTCATGGGGGTGGTCTGACCTGATTCAGCTCAAAGTCCAGGTGTAACTTCAAACTAGCCATTTCCCCTTTGTCCCTGGAAAGACTGGGACTGCGGCCAGGACCAGTGCTTCTGTAGTCTCTGCAGGTGGAGGTGGGGACACCCTGTCACTGTGAGAGTGACAGAGAGGAGAGAAGTCATGTCAGGGAAGGGGCAGCGTGGTTTCTGAAGGACAACGAGTCCCTGAAAGAGTAGGGGAGGCCTACAGTCATGTAGTCTCCACCTGTCACTTTTGAACCTCTTCAGTGGGTAATAGTGGGCATGGTGGAAGTGCATGCTGGGTAGTCTGCCCTTCCTCTCTTACTAGATTGGAAGATGACAATAGAAAAAAAAAGACAGCAAGATCTCTCTCTCTCTCTCTCTCTCTCTCTCTCTCTCTCTCTCTCCCTCCCCCTCCCCGTGTGTAAGTAAATATCAGCCCTGGTCATACCTTTGCCTGCTGCCGTGTAACAGACCTTGTGACCTGAATGCCTATGGCTGCCTTCTATGCACTTATTCTCTGTGGGAACATAGGCCATGGGAGCAGCAAGAGGTGGGTGAGGAGTGGGAGTTGCTGACTCGGCCTGGATGCCTGCCTGTGTCCCTTCTCATTCCTAAGGGCTAAGGAAGGGGGTGCATCCAGATGAGTTTGGGGAGATTGATTTAAATGAGTGAGATAGAAGAGGACTCATTCACTCTTCTACTTTGTCTGAATCAGCAAACCCTGAGAGGAGCAAGGCAGAGAGCTGATGTCCCCTGTCCTTATCTGCACATGTCCTTCTCCACTTACCCAGAGAGTTTCTTTTGGGCCCTGCTTCCAGGAATTCTAGTCTCTAAAATGGAGTATACTTAACTGAAATAAAAGAAATAGAAGCAATTTTGGTGGTATTATTTGTTTTCCTGAAATTTGGGCAAAGATTTGGTTTGTAGACTGAGTCATCTCAAATTTCCCTGATTTTGTAATCATCCTCACAGAGATGAAGATGTTGTCTGCCTCACTTTGGCTACTAGACTAGTTGTGTTGGATGGAGTCATCAGAGCGGAGGGAATCTCAACTGAGATGATGTCCCCATAAAATTGGGGTATTGGTCATTTTCTTAGTAATTGACAGGAAAGGACTTGCTCGTCGTGGGTGGTGCCTTGGCTGGTAGTCCTGGGCTCTATAAGAAAGCAGGATAAGCAAGTCATAGGGAGTAAGCCAATAAGCAGCACTCCTCCATGGCCTCTGCATCAGCTCCTGCCTCCAGGTTCCTTTCCTGTTTGAGTTCCTGTCCTGACTTCCTTCTATGGAAGCATAGCCAAGCAAACCCTCTTTTCCACAACTTACTTTTGGTCATGATGTTTTATCACAGCAATAGTAACACTAACCAGGACATTATTAAAATAGTGATTTCCAAGAAGTTGAAATTTCCCCACAATCTAGTGATGGGAAAGGAACACGCCGAAGTCTGGTGTCAGTCAGAGATTCTAAACAATTTGCCAGGGTTACTTAGTAATGTATACTTCTTGCTCTCTATTTGAATCTAAACTTTATGTCAGGACCAAGAAGATGGACTCGAGGAGAACCTGGTGCTCCACTTCTCGATGTGGCCACATTGGATAAATCTTCCTCTACTTTTCATGACTGTTTACTCTATCAGCCTTTTGAGTCTTTTGAGCCAAGTCCAGCCTCCATGGACTTGGACCCTAACAACTCTAGTTACCCTCTTTATCCAGAATGATAGCAGTTTCTAGACAACCATTATTCTAAGTTCTCAAAAACATGGAAGATCAGGGCTCCTCTTGTTTGAGGGCTGCTCTGTTCTCACTGCATGTCATTCTTCTCCCTTCACTTGGGGGCCTCACAATGCTTCTGATGGCCATGAGGGTCAGGTGCAGCTATAGCTCCTTACCAGGAGAATCAAGACAATTTCTGACGATGGTGAGAGCCAGAGGGAGGGAGGAAGGGTTGATAAGAGGGATGTGGACACCTCAGAAATGGGGATAGATGATCCAAGCAGGAGACTATAGCCCCTGACTTCTAACACCGTTTCCCTCATCTGCTAAAGGATGCCTGGCACAGTTATGCATGCCTTTCATCCCGGTACTCGGAAAGTAGAGGCAGGTGGATCTCTGTGAGCTTGGGGCCACCTTGGTCTACAAAATGAGTCCCACGACAGTAAGAGCTACATATGGAGACCCTGTCTCTAAAAACCAAAATAAATAATGATAATAATAATGAATAGTAGTATTAAATAAATGGATATGGAAAGTGCTTGTGTTGCCAGTTCTGGGGTGGAGAATAACGTTTCTCAAAACTTGTTTTGAGAAAGGAACAATGTAAGGTTGAACAGCTCTGTGGAAAGACCTGGCCCAGGCTTTTGGAAGCCCAGCAATAGAGGCTCCTCTATTCCTGCTTTGTCAGGTTCTCTTTGTTTCTAACACTGTTACCAAGGGCAATAGCCCTTCCACTCAAGTGCAGCATCGGAGTTGGCTTGAGAGTTTCTGTCCCTGTGTCAACATTGTAACTAAAGTGCCAGCTCTGTGCCTAGTCCATCGTTGGTCCTCAGAAAGAGTGGCCATCACATTTCACATGGATGCTGACTTTTGTCCACATCAAGGTTTGTGTTTTTCCAAATCCCTGTCTCTGCAGCACGGCAGGGTAATGGCCGAGAGGCTTCGGTCTGTAAAGGTCTAATAGCTTACGATGATGTGTGGTCTAGGGTACTTGAGTAGGCTGCATTCTGCTTACATTCCAAGTCCTGTGGCCTGGACCTCACTGGCAACCTTGAGGTAGCCCAGACTGACCTTGAAGTTGCAGGAATTCTCTTGCCTGAACCTCCTAAGTCCTGAGATTATAGGCCTGCCTAACCCCAGTTACCAGAAGACAGTTTGGAACAATGCTGCTACGGAGGTAGTTTGTTGGGTCAAACGGCATAAGATGTAAAAGGTCCAGCCCAGGGCTCGGCACCGAGTACACACACCGTTCCTAGGGGGTAGGGGTGGGGGCAGCTTCCACTGCTTTCACTGTCTTCAAGATACTCCGTATTCTTGTCCTTCAAGTTGCCTCGCTGACGACACCACAGGGAGAGACACCTGACATCCATGCTCAGGAAGGAGCTTCCAGAGGTGCCTCCTTCGCAGCCAGTTCACTGACCAGCCAGGTGAGGACTAGAGGGCCACTCGCTCTGCTTGGAGCCATAAACAGCCACGCAGGCCGGTGGTTCCCCAGTCACACTGCTCCTCTGGGGACCAAGAATGCTGAGCATCCATGACCAGCACCAGACTTCATATCACTGAATAGTCAGTATTTTTTCTGTGTTCTGTAAGCACATTCCCCATTTTGAAATGGTGTGTGTGTGTGTGTGTGTGTGTGTGTGTGTGTGTGTGTGTGTGTTCGGGGGGCGGAGAGGAGTGTCTAGATTGGCAATCACGTGAAATTCAGAGGACAATATTTGGGAGCTGGTTTTGGCCAGTCACCTTGTTGAGGCAGGGTCTCTTATCTGTTTTTTGCTCTGTACTCCAGGCTAGCTGGCTTTAAGTGATTCTGTCTTCACCTTCTATGTTGCCACACGAGTGTTTCCATTACAGATGCTTACTACCCATGCAGCATTTTTTTTGTTTAACTTGGATTCTGGATCAGACTTGGCTTGCATGGCCACTGCTTTCACGTGATAAGTCATCCTACTGACCCACGCTCTAAATTGCTCCACATCAATTTTCATTTACTTGTGTACAAAGGCCTTTGACACTCACGAATCTACCAAAAATAATTTATTAATAAACGATAGCAGATCATTCTGTGCCTTCAGCGTCATCAGCTGCTTCACTCTCCTCTGCTTCAGTGACCGACAGTTTCAGGGCCGGCGGCATCGCGTCTTTCTTGACCTCCCTGGAAGAAAAGCAACGCCAAGGCTTTCAAACTTTGAAACGAGGAACTTGCCCTTAGTTCCTCAGCTGAGGAAGATATTTACCCTGGTACCTCCTTTTTGAAAATCTCCTCCTCTCCAGAGGACTCCTTGTCCTGTAGATCCTGAGCCATGTTTTTCTTGCGTGTGTCGTGAAGAGGCCTATACATATCCCTAAGCCATAGTGGCCACCTTAGCCAGAAAAATCCTTCCTAGGAAAGAGAAGGGGAGACATTAGTTCTGTTAGCCCCCACCTTCTCCAGCCACAGCACCGAGTCTCGGGCTTACCTGACTCTCACAGTCCTTGTAGCATCTCTTACTCCTTGGAAGAAAACACATGTAGAAGACAGTTAGTGATTGTGCTGTGTGTGTGTGTGTGTGTGTGTGTGTGTGTGTGTGTGTGTGTGTGTATGTGTGTGTGCACGCACGTGTGTATGTTTGGGGACATCTTGGCTCTCCCCATAACAAAGATCACCCCAGCACTGGGACTTAACAACAATTCCATGCATATCTGGCTTTTAGGAACTTTCTAAGTCTGTTCTAAGGGCCCACAATGCCCCTGGGGAGATCTTTGCAGGTGACTTGTCCTGAAGCAGAGCCCAGGCACCAGCATGACAATAGCCCCACTTATTCCACTGAACCAACTTATCCCTCTGAAGAAGCCACCCTGGGCAGGAGCCCTTTGCTCTCCTGCAGATCAGTTCTCATAGGCAGACTTGCTGAGGTGAGGGAGGGGCCGCTCCTGCTTGCCTAGCTGCTTTATCCTCCAAGTGCAAAGCCCAAGTCCACAGCACAGCTCACAGACTCAGGATTTCACCCTGCAGCCTGCCTCTGGTGAGGAGCTGTAAGAGCAGTTTAAAGGGCACGGCTAGCTGCGCATGGTGGATCATGCCTATGATTCCAACCTTGGGAGCCTGAAACAAGATTCTCAGGCCAGCCTTGGATACATAGTGAGTTCTGTATGCTGCCAACAGCAGAACAGGCACAGCCTAACCTCCTTTCCTTAAAGAAATGGTTACACTTGGAGATCTCTTTGTTAGTCTTGGGTATATCTGCCTTTTTGGGGGGCCAGGCAAGACATTAGGGGAAATAACATTCTTTCTGAGTTTCCCCAATGAGGCCCAAGCTCTCTGATAGCTCTCAGGTTCTCTTTGAACAGTTGCTAATCTTGTATTTACCCTGTGTACTTTTCTTCATCTCCATCTCTTGCTGCTCTGTGAGAATAAACCTGTTTTGGAAGACAACATGATCATGATTATAACAGTGACTGAGGTCTCCAAGCTATATCTATTCCTTTTACTTAACTGACACCTACCCTGCTACTCTTCTCGTCTGTAGCACCGAGTTTAGGGTGTCTCATGTAGCTGGCACTTAATATGGTGTATTGACTCTTTTACATAAAATTAAACAAGTCCTAATGAAAAACTCTTAAAAGTCAAAGAAAGGAATATCTTTAACTTCACCAACGTATATACGAGAAGAGCAAGAGCAGAATACCTCTGACCACAACCATGAAGCCTTTGTCTCTGGTGAGCTTCTGAAATGTAATATGGAAAATAAACACGGTATTGAGGAGGAACGAACTATTATTGCTATTACCTGAAACAATGAACAACCAAAAAGTTCAAGACAATCGACTAATATTTCACTAGAATAAGAGGATTCAATACTGTTGGCTAGTGACAAAATAAGAGAGGTGAGGATACAGAGCCCAACAGATTCCACATGTATCTCCCCTACAAACTAAGCAAGTTCCCATTTATGATAGCAATGGAGATGGGCAGTGCTTCAGAACAAATGTAACTTAGGATGAGTAAATTCTCTGATGAAAATGCTAATTCTTTTAAAGAACATTAAGAGAAATGACAAGCCACAGAGCGAGTTTCTGTCTAAAAACAAAAGGCAATCTAAACCAGCAAAAGCTTGTAAATCTGTCTCGGTGTAGAGTGCAAGGCCTGGTTTAATCTCAGAGAGGAGGAGAGGGAGGAGGAGGCGGCAGCAGCAGAGGCAGCAGTGAAGGTAAGGCCTGCTGTCAAGGTGTCAACCGTCAGCGGACAACTATAAAGGCCATGCTGTCTTATGAAATCTGATCTTTTCCCCACTTATATGTATGTGCCCACATGTGTGCTGTGTGTTTATGTGTGGTGAATGTGTGAGTACATGTGCATGTGTGAATGATTATGGAGGCTTGAGGTTGATGTTGGCTATCTACATAACTCTTCCCTCTCATTCCCTGACTCAGAGTTAATCACATCCAGAGCTTCCTGATATGACTAGCCTCATTATGCAGCTTGTTTTTGGGCAATCCTATGTCTGTCTTTGGCATGGGAATTACAGGTGACTGTCATGCTACCATGTCTGACTGGAATTCTCCAGGTCCTGAGAATTTTAAATCTAAAGTCTAATCTTCATGTTTGTGTAGAAAGAGATTCAACCACTGAGCCATGTCCCCAGTACAAACATTTATTTTCTTTTTTCTTTTTCTCTTTCTCTTTCCCTCTTTCTCTCTCTCTCTCTCTCTCTCTCTCTCTCTCTCTCTCTTTCTCTCTCTCTGTCTCTCTCTCTCTCTTCCTTTCTTTTTAAACAAATAAGATCAGCTGACATTTGGTAGGGAAATGTTAAGAATGATTACACAATGTATGGAAAACAGGACAGAGAACAGGAGCTTGCCCTATCAAATCAAGAGGAGTTAACCAGCAATGGGGGGAGTTCAGTTAATGTAACCAGCGGAAGTTATCCAGCAATGTGGGGCTCAGTTAATGTACAAAGTAACTCTGATTAATGCTGTGATTCTTGACTAGTACAGGAACAACAGCAGGATCAAGATAAGCATCCAGATAGAGCTGTATCTTAGCCCAGTGAAGAAAGAGTCAATTAGCCAATCTGAATTATTTTAACATCTAGATATTCTTGTGAGGGAGGGATATTCCCTGACTCAACCATACCCACCAAAAATGAAATAAATTCTAGGCAGATTAAAAGAATACATAAATAAGAGGCTGGAGAGATGGCTCCACAGTTAAGAGCATTGGCTGCCCTTTCGGAAGACCTGTGCAATATTCCTATGCACTGTGTAAGTATATGTCACTGTAATTGGTTTAATAAAGAAACTGACTGGCCAATAGCTGGACAGAATAGGGTTAGGCAGGAGAGCCAGACTGAGAATGTGGGGAAGGAGAAGGGCGGAGTCAGAGGAATCACCAGAAGGTGCATAAAGTACCAAACCACGTGGCAAAGAATAAATTAAGAAATATTGGTTAATTTAAATGTAAGAGTTAGCTAGTAATAAGCCTAATCTATGGATGAGCATTTGCAATTAACATTAAGTCTCTGTGTTGGTTGTTTGGGAACTGGTGGGTGGGAAAGAAATAGCTGTCAACAAATGGCACCCAAAGGTTCAGCAACTACATCCACATGAAACCTGAGAGAGTTTGTAAAAGGGTTCTAGGCACACATAAACAGAGCCTAGAGCGGCTTCCTAGTCTCATTTCTCTGGTACAGGGATGCATCTCCTGGTGCTGCTAGCAAGCAGAGCAGCCAGTGCACCATGAGCTAAGGGCAAGGCAGGTTCCTGCAATCCTCTCATGGCAGCCACAGAAAAGCGTCTCCTGTTAACTGCCTGTGGGAGGGAGACAGTCACCAAAACAGAGGCAGAGGTCGTAGCTACACTGCTTAGCAGTCTAAAGTCTCATGTGGAAAAAAAAAAGATTAGATATGTGATAAAGACAGATTCAGATGAAAAAAAACTCTCTAAATGGGTTACAGTATGCTTAAAAATATAAATAGGTTAGGGAGAGAGAAAAGAAAGAATATATACAGTCTTAGATTTAAAAATACAGTTTTAAAATAAAAGTCCTTAAAAAGTAAGTAAAGTAATATAAAAGAAAAAAGTCATGTAAGGATGGGAAATGCAGAGAGTCTGGACCCTGTATGTTATTGTGTTGTCTTTAAACTTTTTGACTGCTTAGAGACACTGGATTAAAGCTGCTGGATTAAACCAACTACACATTTAAAAAATACCTTGACTTCAAAATTTAAGTCAAAAGGTATGTTGCATTGGGGGAGAGGTTTTGCTTTTATTTCTACAGGATTTGAGAGGCTGTGGATTCATTTTAGGTTAAAGAAAATCAGGTTTGATCAAAGGAAGACCCCCGAAAAGTCTGTCTACAAATATAAAGAAATTAACCTAGAAAAAACTACAAAATACACAATATTTATTTTACCTGCTCAAACATAAAACAAAAAATCATCTTTGGCTAACTTGTATACAACACATAGTCTATACTTTTATCAATACAAAAATGTATGTTACTTGTTAAAGTTTATGTATTTTCAGAACAAGAAAAACAAACATCAGTAAAAGTGGATGGCCCAGATTTCCCAAAACCTCAGAGCACCTCTATTACAATTTCCTTCAAGTTCTGCACTCAGAACAGCTTCAAGGCTGCTGACTGAGATGAGCCAGCCTCATAGGCTACCCCAGTAAAGTTTTACAAAGATGCCAGCACCCCCAAACAACAGAGAGTAATCTAAAGAATGACACTCACCTCCCCCCAAATGGGTTCTCTTTCTAAAGGAATAAAGGAGGCTAGGATGTAGAAACGATGGGATAAAAGCATCAATTGTTGAATCTACATCTAAACCAAAAAAGCAACTAGTCTTAAATATTTTATATTGGTATGGATTTTTGTATATTGATACAAATTTGAGGTTATTTTTGTTATACTGTATGTATGTTTCTACTCTTAAGATATTTTTAAATATTGATACAAAATTAAGATTATTTTTGTTAGAACACACTGTACACATTTGTACTCCTGCCTAGGTATTGTACCTATACAGCTCATTTAACAATGTAATGAAAATTTCTAGTCCTTGAAAGTTATTGTTACAAACTAATAATAATAAAGGATAATAAAGAATTTCAGGCTAGTAGTTAGTTACCTATTATAATCAAACTTGTAATCATGTTAGGTATCTTTTCAAGATAATATAGAGATATATTTTAGATAAACAGGTATTCTTCAAACATTTCAAAGACCTAAAGAATATGACATTTAAAATGTTTTAATAACTTAGGCTTTTCTTGGCATGAGACACATTTGTTCCTAGAGGCGCAGATCTATTTCAAAAAAGGATGATGGGCACTGAAGAAACTCTATAGATGGAAGTTTTTGTCCTGCCCAGTCCCACAGCTGTTCAGTCCCAAATAAATACACAGAGGCTTATATTAATTATAAACTGCTTGGCATATTACTCAGGCTTATTACTAACAAGCACTTACAACTTAAATTAACCCATAATAATTACCTATGTTTAGATATGTGGCTTGGTGCCTTTTCTCAGGAAGGCATTCTCATTTTACTTCCTCTGTGTCTGGCTTGTGACTCTACCTCTGCCTTTCCTCTTTCTGTAATTCTTCTAGTCTAATCACCCTGCCTATACTTCCTGCCTGGCTACTGGTCCATCAGTATTTTATTAAACCAATATAAATGACAAATCATTACAGTGTACAAGAACATTATCACACAGCAAAATCCTATATGGAGTGGCAAAAGCTAGCTGTTTGGGCAAAGAAACTGCCCTTGCCTAGAAGCTGCTGACAGTATGCTGTCCAAACTGGACAAGCAGGACACAAAAGTGACTGCTGAACTTTGTCAAGACAGGATAGGAGAGTCCTTCAAAGTTCTCTACTTCTTAGAAATGTCTGTCAGATATATTAGGCAAAGATGGATGCCCCAACATTACAGAAGAACTTAGGGTAACTCTCTAGGCAGTCCGATGTCCCTGTTGTTATAACATTCCACCCTTCTGGGGTCTTTGATGGAGCTGAATACTAGATAGTCATAGTTAAAGTTTTTCTTAGTTATGATAAAAGATGAATTATGTATAAAATTTTAGAGTCACAAAGATAAAATAGATAATATAGTATTTTCTCTAATTTTGCCAAATATAAATGAACTTGACATTGTAACTGTAATTCTTACTTGATAACTCCTTTTGTTGTATATAATTTTACTATGTTAAAGTTAAAATCTTCCTTTTTAATTAGACAAAGATGGGGAAATGTGCAATATTCCTATATACTGTGTGAATATATATCACATTCTCAGTCTGGCTCTCCTGCTTAACCTTATTCTATCCAGCTATTGGCCAGTCAGTTTCTTTATTAAACCAATTACAGTGACATATACTTACACAGTGCATAGGAATATTGCACAGGTCTTCCGAAAGGGCAGCCAATGCTCTTAACTGTGGAGCCATCTCTCCAGCCTCTTATTTATATATTCTTTTAATCTGCCTAGAATTTATTTCATTTTTTGTGGGTATGGTTGAGTCAGGGAATATCCCTCCCTCACAAGAATATCTAGATGTTAAAATAATTCAGATTGGCTAATTGACTCTTTCTTCACTGGTCTAAGACAAAGAAACTGACTGGCCAATAGCTGGACAGAATAGGGTTAGGCAGGAGAGTCAGATTGAGAATGTGGGGAAGGAGAAGGGCAGAGTCAGAGGAGTCACCAGAAGGTGCATAAAGAAACAAGCAGGGCATGCTGTACTGAGAAAAAAGTACCAAATCATGTGGCAAAGAAGAAATTAAGAAATATGGGCTAATTTAAATGTAATAGTTATCTAGTAACAAGCTGATCTGGTGGCCGAGCATTTGCAATTAATATGAAGTCTCTGTGTCAGTTATTTAGGAACCTGCAAGAAGGAAAGAAATTTCCACCAACAAAGACCTAGGTTCAATTACCAGCACCAACACGGTGGCTCACAACTGTAACTCCACTTTCAAAGGATTCAATACTCTCTTTAGGCTTCCACAGGCACCAGGCACAAACATGATGCACAGACATACATGCAGACAAAATACCCATTGTGTACAAACACACACACACACACACACACACACACACTGTTTCACACATATATAATAGGTATTGCATATATATACATATATATAATAGTGCGTTTTATTTCTCTATTTCCCACTGGGCTGCTGGACTTGGTGGCACATGCCTGTGATCTGAGGCAGGAAGATCAGGAGTTGAAGGTCAGCCTCAGGTACACAGTGGATTCCAGGTCATTCTGGCTATAGAAAACCCTGTCTCGAGCTCCTTCTCTCCTGGGGAGGTGGGAAATGTACACATGAGAAAACAGTGCTAGAGAAGAACTAGGACGGAGTAGCAGAGGAGTCTGCACTCCCTGAGGTGGCAGCACCCTGGTGACAAGAGCACACATAACACACACAGAAGGCGGCACAGGCCGGTAGGTGAGTGGCCTTGGCTACAGACACTTTCCTTTTTCACTGGGTTGTTTTGCCACGGAATATATTAATGCTTTGGGTGATTTGCAGTGGTTTCCTTGTACTCTCACACTCCCAGTACTTCCTGTTTGTCTCTGAGGGGGCGAAACTGACCAGTGAAGGGTCCGGGTGCAGGCTTAGGGATAGGGGAATGAATGGGAGATTTACTCTTGGTTTGGCCACTGGGACTAAGGTGCTCTTCACCCAAGGAGAGGCTTGATAAGCTCTTCCCAGAGGAGGCTGAGATTAGCTCAGACAAGGAATGGACAACTCTGTGCTGTGCTCAGCAGGCACCAGCCTTATATCCCGAAGGATGCGGAAGACAGCATCCATACCCAGCATGCAGCGAAGGCCTCTGCAAATGCAGCTGGGAACAGACAGCTCTCCCCCCCACATACTCATTTTTAAAACCACTGCTATTTTTCTCTCACATCATTTCTTCCTCATATTTATTAAAATATGTTTCTTTAAGGTGAAGTATCTTTTAGTAGCTGCCCACTAATCCCCCAACTGACCAAACGTTAGAGTGATATTACAGAAGTCTTAGTGTCTGGACAGGTAGCACAGTGGTAGAGCACACACGTAGCTTGCACAAGACCTAAAATTAATCCCCAACACTCCTGCCTATATGTGCAAATGGTAAAGAATAACTGGTCTGTCCATTGTTTTTCTCTATGTGATACTTACTTTCTTAAGTTATCTTTAGACTTTTTAGATAGTGTTTAATGTAGCACAGGTTGGCTTCAACTCACCATGTAGTCGAGGGTGGCTAGAACTCCCAGTCTTCCTGCCTCTGCCTCTAAGGTGCTGGAATTACGGGAGTGTGCAGTCAAGCCTGGTTCTGTATGCTACTTTAAATATGCATTTGATTTTTATTTTTCCTTGTTTGGTAATTAACTTAATGTCAGTCTTCTACTCAACACTGTCTGGGTGGGGCTTCACCGCAACCCCTGGCATCCATTTTGGGATGTTAGGTGGAAAGTTCCATTTCAAGGCCCCTCTCCTGTGAGTGGCTGCAGCCCAGAGTCCATCTCCGAGAAAGCCCGCCTAATGGTGATCCCCTCCCCAGAGAGGGTCAAGACCACTCCCATAGGCTATTTAAACTGCCCCTCAGAGAACAAACACATGGTCTCCCCAGTTTTCTTTCCTCCTCTCCATGTTCTCCCAGAGGACCACCCAGGAGTGCTGGTATCCATTAAACCTGGGCTTTTTCTAATTAGGTTTGATTTGGTCTGATTTGGATTATTCCATCCATCCGCGGAGAGGTTTATTGGGCCAAAAAAGCTTTACAAACACCTTGACTATCTACTACAGGAAAATACTGTGTGCGTCCAGTCCTCACAGATACCATCCAAATGGGCAGAAGAGAATGAAAATGCATGTGAAGGGCTGGAGAGATGCTTCGTGGTTAAGAGACTGCTCCTCCAGAGGACCCAGGACTGGATTTCCAGCACCCACATGGTGGTTCACAACGACCTGGAACTTGGTCCAGGGGATCCCACCAACTCTTCTGGCCTCTGAGGGCATCAGGCACAGAGTTGTTTTTCCAGGGCATGCTCCTCTGGGATGAAACATGTCTTCTAGGAGGGAAAGGGAAGGCTCACCAGACTCAAGCAGTAAATGGGAGGTAAATGAAAGGTTAAAAGTCTGGAAAAACAAAATCATGGAAGATTCTTGAGGGCCCCTGCCCAGCAGAACCCAGGGGGTGCAGTTGCTGGGGCTGGAGCCTCTGAGAGGTGACTGCAGAGAGAGACAACTGACTGTGGCAGGGGCTGGCGCTCTGCAGGCATAGGGAGCCCCAGAATTTTGGGGTTTGGGGAGCTGCTGCCATGTTGGGAGAGGACTTCTGGTGATGTGGCTCTTTTAGAGTCACACTTGCTCTTTGTAAATTAGTAACCCTAATAAAAAGACTCACTGCTTCACCAAACTGGTACAATGTTTACTTTGGTATGTCATGGACTTTCTTTCTTGGTAAGTAATGTGTGTGTGGTCTCCCCAGGAAAAAAAAAAAATCTATCACACAACAGTGGCGCACAGACATACATGCGGGCAAAACACCTATACACATAATTTTTTTAAAAGTACAAATAAATTCCAGCACAGTGGTGAACAGCACACATCACTAAAGAGCAATATAGGACTTTACAGACATTTCCCTCCACACATTAGGTGTGGAGGTGCTGTCTGTACAAGGGCCGGAGGACATCCTCCTGGAGGTCGTGAACTGACCCCATGCTGATTTCTGCCTTCTAGCCTCAAAATTCCACCATCCTCACTGACAGAGAACTCTCCACTGCTCCCACAGCCTCTCACAGCAACACCACCAGTCTGACACCAAATCAGAACGTTACATAATGACCTGCCATTGAGGAGCCCGACTTCACAGAGTGCCCGTGAACACACGGGGACATTATCTGTAGACAGAGAGGGTAAGGGGCTCAGGTTTTCAGCTTGCAGCCTCTAAGCCTGTTACACAGAGCGGGCACATTCTGGACACATGAATGTATTGTTGTCCTTACCTCAATGAGACAGAAAATGATAATCAACACTGTCACCACTACAGTTACAGATATTGCCAAGATGACTTTGTTGTTGTAGCCGTATCCCGGAACTTCTTTTGTGCGCTAAAAAGTATAAGATAAATGAATAAATAGGCATTTCTGTTGCCAAATAATAAAGTAAAAAGAATTAAAGAAAGTAAACGCGAATTGCTCAAAATTCATTCTTGAGCTGTGCTTGGTAACTTATGTATATAATCTGGCAATTGGGAGATTAAGATAGAGGACTGCCAGGAGCTTGTTATCAACTTCAGCCACACAGTGAGCAGGCTATTTTGGGCTATACAGTGATATTCTGACTCAAAGATCCAAGGTCTCGGGATGTACTTCTGTGGTTGCACCCTTTGTTTAGCTTGTACTAGGTGCTGGAACAACAAAACTATGTGTTTATTTATTTATTTTTTTTAAAAACCTAAAAACATTCTTCCAGGTGAGTAGCTTTCTTATTTATAAAAGATCATACTGAATTCAATGTTACATGCTTTATTATAGTACATTTTATTATATTCTGTGTCTTAAATTTAGAAACACAGTGGAAGTTAGGTGTGGTAGCAAACACATTTAAACCCAGCACTGGGAGGCAGAGGCAGGAGGATCTCTGTGAGTTCCAGGGCAATCTGGTTTGCATGAGAATTCTGGGAATTCAGGGCTACACAGTGAGGCCTTGTCTCAAAAACAAAACAAAACAATACACACAAAACTACAATGGGAATCATTGTCTTGGCTGGGCTAGAGTTATGCGGCCAATACAAGATCTGAAGTAGGAGGCCCTGGTCTTTCTGCTTAAGTGACTGAAAGGGTACGCGGGACCCATGTTCCAGCACCATCCTCACCTGACTTGGTTCCAGACCCTTCTGTTCACCTTGGGTTTCTGTGCTCTCGTTGATGTAGTTCTCAGTTTTCCACTGGTCCGTATCCCAGTCGGCCCTGGACAGCTTGAATTCTTGTTGCTCACTGAGAAGCTTCATCAGGAGGCCGGTTCTGGAGATGAGCTTGGCACAGGACAGCTGCACACGGGGATCAGAGCAATCCATCTTCAAAGTCCTGATAACGTGAGCAATAAGCCTTCTCACGTTGTTGTTAGGGATGAGGGGCCGCAGCTGCTGGTTTAGCTGAGATTCAAAGCGTTCACCTGGTGACATCAGCAATGGGTAAGCAAATTCTTTGAAATGGTTATCAGAGTCAGACACCAAGGTTAAGGATAACTGTAGCTCGCTTGTTTGCTGAGCAGTAGTAATTAAATCAGCTGTAGGCTCATTAGACTCTACAGCAGGATTCTTAATGGGAATATTTTCTGATGCAGGTTCTTCAGGCCCAGTGAGGGCTGTTTTGAGGCTGTTTTCTTCAGTATCATCTGTTGCTGCCTGATTTTCTTCAAGAAGTTTTTCTGTAGGAGGTTCTGAGGCAGCATATAATTCTGAAAAAGGCTTTTTTTCATAACTCAGGTCTCCTAAAGATGAAAGGACCCCTTCTGCAGGGGAATTTACCAGGTTCCTCACTGCAGAGGATTCTGGACTCTTTGCAATCAACTGGAAATGAGATTTTTTCTTCCTAAGGTTTCGATATCTCTTTTTAGACAGTAAACTAGGGTTAGACCCCTTCGTTCTTTTCACATTGGCATTTGCACTTTCTAAAATAAAAATGGTGTAAGACAAGTCTTTTCGTCTGTCTATGAACTCAGGCAGCGATTTTGTAGAGGGAGTCTTGTCCACCAGCGACTGTTCTGGGGAAGAAGACACTGATTCCCCGTGCTCCTTTGGGGGAAAGGGCTCTGAGTGGAAGGAATTTCCCGCTAACTTCCTGGGCTTCTGAACCAGACTGAGCTGTTGCAACTCCGCTGTGGGTGGGCTCCCGAGCTGCCCATCTTTGGTGATGCTCTCCACAGGTGTCTGGACACTCTGCTTATTCCCCAGTCTCTTGTCACTCACTTCCCTGATGGGCCTTTTCTGTGCGCTTCCTGTCCCCTTGAGCACTCTGTTCAGGCTGTGGAGTCTTTTCTCTGCCTTCTCAATCTCTGCAAGACCGTTTTCCTCGGCCCGGGCAGGTGCCCATCTCTTTCCAAATATTCGTCGTTTAAATTTGGGACTCAAGTGGCCAGACTGCTGCATAAGCATGGCAGTTTTCTCTTTCTTTCTAACCTCATCAATCTCTGCATCTAACAAATTCTCTAGAAAATAAAGTTTATTCAGTTTGTTTTTGTAAGCCATCTTACTTGCCTTTGGTACAGGGTTAAGAGCAAGGCTCCTTGAATCATTTTTGTAGGATTCCAGTGAACTATCTGTATTTTGTACATTAGAAAAAAGCAGTTTTATGAATGGTAACAATGTCGATACTACATCTTCCAGATTTCCCTCTGAGAAATATGGCAGTATGTAATTTAGGGCACTAATAACATCACTTTCATCGTTAAAGTCCAGCTGCTCATCCATGAAGCCTGAAGAGCTAAGATCATCTTTATCTGAATAGGCCCTCTCTGGTTCAATAGTGAGCTCAGTGCTGGTGTTCTCCCTCCGGGCCTGCAACACCTTCATGAATGATCCTTCGGGGTTCCCTATAGGTGCTTCAACTGTCAAAGATGGAGAGATTGCTTTGGGTCAGAAAATGCTGGCAGCCCCATTTCAGTCCACAGTCATTCAACCCAACCAAGTAAAATAGGGGCCAGCAAATACTGGAGGACATGCCCATTAGTGAAGAAAAAAATAAACTCAAATTTAAACCTATGAAATGGCAATGACAACCAGAGAGGACAGCACTAGCAAAATAACTGCTTAGAACATGCTACAAGTGTGCGCACAGGGCGTCGATGGAGAGTTGCCCATGTTCATGCCTCAGCAAAAGGGCGTGGTTGGAATACAGGGTCTCACTAAATTGCCTATATGGCCTTGGAATGGGCTCCTTTTGCCTCAGCCTCCTAAGTAGGTGGCATTAACACCATGTACCACCACACTCAGTTTAGAAAAACACTTTGAAAATCATTCGCTACCAGACATGGTGGCATACACCTGTGATCCTGGCAAAACACAAAACAAAACAAAAAAACAAAACTTCCAGAGTCAGAGACAGGCAGATCTGTGAGTTCAAGGTCAGCCTGGAGTATCCAGGGAGCTCAGGCCAGTCAAGCCTGTATAATAAAATCCTGCCTCAAAAAACAATCAAACAATTAATTAAAATCACACAACTGATCTGTGGCTAGAAAAACTTGAGGCTGAGCACAGATACAGAGTTGGCCAATCTAGGCATGTTCCATTAGGAGGGGCTGGCAGCATTTACTGTTTCTAGAATGAGAAGCTCTTGGATTCCAAATAAAAGTGCACCATAGTGTTAAAAACTGCTAAAGAAAACCAAACCAAACCATCTACACCTGCGCTATAGGTCAGGGGTGCTTGAGACCATGTACATAAAACCAGCCTTAGACTGCAGTGCTGTATATAAGAGACCACTGAAGCAAGGTACCAAGCACAGTGTACATATAGTTCACAGCGTGAACATTTATATTACCCCTCCCATTCCTCCCCTCTCTTGCTTTTTTCCTGTATGGAACATTTTTTATATGTATATGCTTCTTTTGTTTTTTGAGACAGGGTTTTATTGTGTGGTCCTGACTGTTCTGGAACTCATTCTGTAGACCAGGTTGGCCTTGAACACACAGAGATCCATCTGCCTCTGCCTCCCAAGTGCTGGGATTAAAGGCGTGCATCGTTGCAGCCACCACCACCACCTGGCTAATAGGTATGTACTTTTAAAGGATTCATTTTATGTGTATGACTGTTTTGCCTGCATTTGTGTGTGTGTACTTCATGTGTGCCTGGCCTGCAGAGGTCAGGCCAGGCATAGGATTCCCTGGAACTGGAGTTGTGGATGATTGTGAGTCACAGTGTGGATGCTGGGAACTGGACCCTGGTCTTCTGCAAGAGCAGCAAGTACTTTAAACCACTAAACTATCTCTCTAGTTTTGTGTTTGTGTATGTATACTCATATGTACATATATACATACATACATATATTGTGTCTGTATGTACATGATGTATATGGATCCATGTGTGATGGTTTGAGTGTGGAGATCAGAGGGCAGCCATGTGGAGTTTGGTCTTTTCTTCCACCTTTATGGGGGTTCCAGGGATTGATTAAGATGTGTGTGGCAAGCATCTTGACCCTCTGAGTTATCTCTTTTGCCCACAGAACAGTCATATTTTTAAATAATGCATTAATATCTGAGAGCTCAATTTTCACAGGGGAGAAGTTTAGAAGCTAGGGAGTTTTATTACAAATGAAGGAATAGAAATAAACAATTGTTAGTTTAAATTTTAGGAACATCACAGAAGGGGGCGTGGTGGTAGAAAGCTTGTAAGAGCCAGAGGACCAGGAAGTCAGCTGTGAGATTTTGTCGTCTAGGAGTGACAAGAAAGTTATGCTTGTGATACCTCAAAATACAGTTGCCTACACACACCCGGAACAAGCACAACTCTGGCTGCCATGTTAAAGGTCACGAGGTCTCACTCCTTGACAAAGAGCTGCAGACAACTGAGGGCCGCTGAGCGAGGCAGAGTCTGTCCCTCCCAGGGATGAGCTTCCTAACTGGCTAGTTAATAAAAGTGGTCAGCCATGAATCATATACACACAAGCAACCTAAAAAAAACTCTCATCAAGTTCTACTATAGATTTATGTGTTTATATATCGTATATGGAGCAATAATAATCAAGAAAAAGTCAATTTGAGAGGGAGGGGGTATGGGAGAGGTTGGAAAGGGGGAAAGGAAGGCACGAAGGGAAGTGATATAATTAATTTTAATTTAAAATAAAAAGTAATTTAAAAAGAAATTATCTTTACCAGTTAAAAATTATATGTCACAATTAAAACATTCATCAGGCAAGAGACTCACAACAATGTGTGGTGTTTGTCAGACATCCAGCGTGGCAATGCAGTTTGACAGTCTTGCAGACAACCTCAATATCACTTTTAAATTTGCAGAGGCAGCAGGTCATGTGGCTAGGTAAGATCCTATAAACAGGGAGACAGAGAATTGGTTTGCTGGAAAGGCCTTACTGAGGTACAGAAGAGGCAGGCCAAGGCCACCACAGGGTCACAGAGGATGGAGTTCTTGAGGCATGTGGTATATGCAGTTGGGTGGGGACTCAATAGCAAATTGCTGCTCTCTGATACTGAAAGTGATCATGAAGGAGGACAGAAGTGTTCAACAGAAGAACAAGTGTCGTGTGTGTGTGTGTGTGTGTGTGTGTGTGTGCGCCTATAACAGAAGTGACAGGAACAGAACCAGGTGACATTGATGGTAGAAGTCTCTCTCCTCAGCTCAAGTCTCATTCTGGGTTGGTCATGCACAGGAAGAAGGGCCTGGGTAAGCCTCTAACCTAGGGATAATTTATTTCTGTTGTAAGTGGAAATACTAGAAGTCATCTTAAACCTAAAACCTCCTACTTTAAGCTATATTATGTAGTTCAGTGGCATCAAGGATCACAATTGACCAAGCCTCATCAGGTGCAGTTGAAAGAGTAAGGGCTGGGGATGCAGGGATGCAGCTCTTTGGTGTGGTACTCCTGTATCAGTGCAAGGTTCTGGGCTTGATCTTAGAATCACACACACACACATACACACACACCTCATAAACACATCACACAACTACACATACATACCACACACACATACCATATGCACACATACACACATATGACACATGCACACACACACATATACACACAATACACACACACACACACACACACAGACCAGAGTAAAGTAAAATGTAATTGTAAAGAGAATCCATGAATTGATAACGGTACTCAAAAACAAAAGCTGGGTAATTCTCCAAAAGAACACCAGTTAATAAATGTGTCAGTTTAGACCACCAAGTAACAACTGCTTCAGACAAGTTTATCATTAGTCACATCCAGGCGAAAAATGCTTGGGAGGACACGTGGTACAGCAGCAGTGAAGGCCCATTGAGGGGGACGCGTGGTACAGCAGTACTGAAGGCCCATTGAGGAAAACCTTTCCTTCTGGTCAAGAGGATGGGACTCAGATCTGGGACATTAGTGACACCATTCCAGTTGGGCAAGTCGGCCACCCCTTGAAGGGATCACTCCTCAAGATGGTGGAACCACCCCACAAGAAGGGAGACCCAACTTAAGCCATGCTAATGAGGTAAGAATGGTTTTCCCTTCAATGAGACAATCTGTTCTCCTTCCCAGAATTCCTGGCCTCCCTGCAGTTGCTGTGGAGTCACCATGCCCTCCTGAGTCCTTACTCTGAGAGCTGCTATCTTCGCTTTCCTTCTCTTCGATCCCGTTCTTCTAGATGCTGGCCACAGTCTGATGTGCTTTCTCTAGTCCTTTGGGCCTGTTTCTCCCCCATGATGCTCTCTGCTCCCCTTTACTATGCGGCTGTTGGAGTGGTGTGATCTTCCCTTTTCCTCCTGTCTGTCTGATACTTCCAGGCAGCGGCTGAGCCCACAGTTTATTTAGTCTGTTTGTTTACTCTAATTGGCTTCGAGGTTCCTTTTGAGTCCATTCCTAACCCTGATTTCCCTGGTAACATGTGGTATCCATAGTGGGGCTTCCCCAAATTCCCATAGATTATTTACTTTATAAGTACCATGTTTAGCCACGTGGTGGTGGTGCACGCCTTTAATCCCAGCAGAGGCAGAAGCAGAGGCAGGCAGATCTCTGGGAGTTCGAGGCCAGCCTGGTCTACAGAGCTAGTTCCAGGACAGGCACCAAAGCTACAGAGAAACCTTGTCTCAAAAAAAAAAAAGTACCATGTTAAAAACCAGCTTAAAGAACTACAACATACCACCTTTGGGTGATCGGGTTTGACACAATAGGCCACCTGAAATTCCCATCAGAAAGGCAGTGCCAGATGCTTGACCTGACCTATTCCTCAGGAAACAGAGCCAGATTGAGATGCCAATCTATAAAACACAGACATCAGTAAGAAGCCAGACTGGATAATCACAAGTTCAAAGTAACCTAGGCTACAGGAGGAGAACCTGCCTCACAGACAAAACGAAACAAAAGCTCAACCAGAACAGACACCTCATTCAATGTGGACTCTGACTTAAAGCAAGCATACATGGTAAAACGTCGTTTGCATACGACTAAATATTACAGAACACAGCTAGTAAAGAGTTAGGATGGCAACGACAGACACCACTTGAGATGAGCTAGCAGGAAGGCAAGCTTGTTTTGTATCCCAGACTGGCCAGGAACTGCTAGTTTAGTTGAGGATGGCCTTGACTCGGAAGGACAAGTATTCACCATGATGCTGGTTTGTATCCAAACCCAGGGCATCATGCACGCTAGGGTTGACTTTACCTGCTGATCTATACCCCCAATCCAGATGAACACTGTTTAAAGACATCTTTGCTTTCTCGTCCTCTGCTGGTGAAATACGCTAAAGATCATGCTCAGTGAGAAAAGATGGACCCAAAAGGTCCCTGTAGAATGTCATTTATGAGATGTTCTGGGGAAGGAGAAGCTATAGGGCTAGAAGTAAGATTGGCGTTTCACAGGAGCTGGCCATGGGAAAGGTGCAGACATTCAGGAGGGATCCTTAGGAGGGGACAAACAGTCTGTATCAGTTCTGTAATAGTGGTTAGGGAACTAACTATGAAAGCTTCACTAAACTATGCATTTGAATTAATTGCATGAACATTTTATCTCAATACCTCAGACTCAATAAATAAGGCAAATCTCAAAAGAATTTCTAATACAAGAAATTATAAAGATTGCCAGGGTTGACAAGATGACTGAGCACAAAGTCCCCTGCCATGCCAACAGCTTTGATCCCTGGAACCCACAGTGTAAGAGGAGAGCTGCCTCAGAAAGCTGTCCTCTGACTTCCATACTCACACTCATGCCTGCACACACACATACACACACACATGCACTCACTAGTGCACAAACACATGTCTGTACACACATACACATGCATGCATACATGCACACACACATATCTGCACACACACATGTCTGCACACACATGTGTTCACACACATATGCATTAACATTTTAAAACCTAAGTGAACTCATCCTAAGAAAGTAAACCTTACAGATGCTCCAGCTCCAGGGTCATCATGAGGATGTTCTCAAGTGCTGTCAGTGGCACATGTGTTTTCCCCAGGTCTCTGAAGGAGAGAGAGATTCCATGAGGAACCATTTTCATCACAAGCGGTCACTTACACTCTGGTTTTCCTGTAAAAGTATCTGGCTTAGGAGTTTATAGTTGGGCTTGGAGATGGCTTCAGAGGTTAAGAGCATGCACTGCTCATGCAGAGGATCTGAGTTCAGTCTCCAGCATCCATGTTGGGCAGCTCAGAGTCACATGGAACTCCATCTCCAGAGCTGCTGCCACCCTCTTTTGGCCTCTCCCACACATGTGGGCATATTAACACACACACATAGTTAAACATAAATAAACGTAAAATCTATTGCCATAGAAGATTATTTCATAGAGCTCTTTTCGTAAAAAGAGCAGGTTTAATATTCGCTTAAATCAGGAATCTTGGCATAGCGCAGTCTCTCTCCGTCACTGACTCACTTTCACCTCGCACACACCCTACCGCAGCTCTCACTCAAGTTCATTTTCACTTTAATTTCTAAACACCCAATTCCCATTTATTTAAAGTCCTGTCAGTCAATATATACATTTATATTAAAAACACAGGAATCTGGGTATTTTAATTTTTGAGACAGGGTCTCTTTGTTAGCCCTGCCTGGCCTGAACTCACTGTGTAGACCAGGTTGGCCTCAAAATCTGAGCAACCTGCCAACTTCTGCCTCCTGAGTGCTGGAACTAAAGGCACACCACCATATAGAGCTCCCTTCTCACTTCTTTTTTTAAAACAAAATGTTTACTTATTATTTATGTGTATGTGTTCAGGTGCCTGTTGAGGCCAGAAGGAGTGAGTTCCAGGTAGTTGTGAGCCACCTGGTATGTTCTGAGAACTGAGCCTGGGTCTTCTGTAAGAGTAGTAAGTCCTTAGCCATCTCTCCAAACCCTCCTCCTCCTCCTCCTCCTCCTCCTTCTCCTCCTCCTCCTCTTCCTCCTTTTCTTCTTTTAAAAAAAAAAATCAGTTTTTTTTTTAGTGTGTGTGTGTGTGTGTGTGTGTGTGTGCACGCGCACGCAGAAGTCAGAGGTGTCAGATTCCCTGGAGCTGGAGTTACAGGCAATTGTGAACATCTCAGTGTGGTTGCTAGAAATCAAACATAGCTCCTCTTTGTAAAAGTAGTATACACTGGGGCTCTTAAGCCATTAAGAACTTTGTCTGCTCTTCAGAAGGATTGGGATTCCATTTTCACATCCACATGCAGCTCACGATCGTCTGTAACTCCAGTCATCTGGCGCCCTCTGCTGGCAAATATGAGCACTGCATATACAGGTTGCCTAGACATTCACAAGGAAAAGAGCCACACTTGAAATATTTTTTAATTTAAAACGTAGGGTGGATCTGGGGGAGAAAGAAAGTGGGGAGGAGAGACTGGGGAAGAGGAAACTGGGGTTGGGATTTAATATATGAGAGAAGAATAAAAAAGAAAGAAAAATACTATACGCTTATGGCTCTGCTTTCTGAGAAGATATTCCTACATGTGTTTACATATACATGTTTACATGTTCTTCAACACACTTTCCTTCTCAGCTGAATGTATTGCCCATTGTATCCTTTCTTTACCTTTTTCATTTGTGTGTGTGTGTGTGTGTGTGTGTGTGTGTGCGTGTTCCACAATGTATTTGTGGAGGTCAGAGGACAAATAACATGAACTAGTTTTGAACTCAGGTCCTCAGACTTGCTAAAAACCCTCTTTGTCAGGCCTTACTTTTATTTCTTTCATTTCATTTTCTTTTAAGAGACAGTGTCTCCCAGTGTATACACGTGGGTGATCTGTAACTCACAGATCTGCCTGTGTTTGCCTTCCAAGTGCTGGAATTAAAAGCAGGTACTGCTTTTCCCCTGTGTTTCCATCCTTTTGTCAATGATTTTTTTAAAACATTCAGTTAAAACTAAAATTGGGATTTTAAAAAAATTATTCAGACAAAATGCTCTCCTGATGGAAATAAAGGTGAGTTCCTTAGAACTCATCTAAGGAACCATGAGACAGCTACAATACTCACAAATATTTTAGTGCTGGCAACTTATAAAGGTAGGGATCTTCAACAATTGTCAGAGGGTTCTGGCTGAGGATTCTGAAAAATGAGATGGAATTTATGTTACAAACAATGCAGCAGCTTGAAACTACCTGGAAAGTTTGTACTAATTTCTTCGGCATGGAACATTTATATTTTTAAAAAATCATGTTTTTTTTTACCTATAACCATCCTATATAGGTATATATATGTATATATATACATATACATATATTATCATATAATATACTTAGAATCCATAAATGTTCTTCCCTTGGCAACCATCCATGAGTATAGGAAAAACAAAGTGAAACAGAGGAAAAGGGGGTATAAAGGAAAAAATACCAAAGAGCTTTTAGGTTAAAAAAAAAAAAAAAAACCCAACATGAGGTAAGCCAGACCCAAAAAGAGGAACACGGTATGTATTCACTCATAAGTGGATTCTAACCATAATTAAAGGTCTTTGAGCCTATTATTCGTGATCCTAGAGAAGCTAAATAAGAAGACGAACCTGATGAAGATTATTTAGCTATCCGCCAGGAGATAGGAAATAGACAAGAGTCCCAGGTAACCTCGGGTGCATGGGGGGGGGGTGGGAGGGTTGATGGAAGGGGAGAGGGTTAGAGAGAAGGGAGTAGGGGAGGAATGGAGAAAGCTCGGTTGACCGGGATGGGGAGAAGGGAGGAAGGATGAATATGGGATCAGGGAAGAATATATTTCAACTAAGGGAGTCATTTTAGGGTTTACAGGAAACTTGATTATATATGGGATCCCAGGTCCAAGGAGACATCCCCAGATTGTTCTCTGGACAGAGGAGAGGGTGCCTGAACCGGCCTTGGCCCATAACCATACTGATGAATATTTTGCTTATCACCATAGATCCTTCATCTGGCGTTGGATGGCGATACAGACGGAGACCCACATTGGAGCACCGGACTGAGCCCCCCAAGATCCAAATGAGGAGCAGAAGGACGAAGAAAATGACAAAGGACTGCGAGGGATGCTATCACCCACCGATACAAGGGGTCGGATCTAATGAGAGTTTACCAAGGCCAGTTGGACTGCAACTGAACGAGCACGTGATCCAACCAGATTCTCTGAATGTGGCCGGATTCTCTGAATGTGGCTGGCCTGGAGTCTTTCTGAGAAGCCATTGACAATGACACTGGGACTAGTTTCCTCTGCATATACTGGATTTTTGGGATCCAGTCTGTTTGGATACTCACCTTCCTGGACCTGGAGGGAGGGGAGAGGAACTTGAACTTCCCACAGGGCAGGAAACCCTGACTGCCCTTAGGGACAAAGAGGGAGGAGGAGAGGGAGGGGGGAGTGGGAGGGTGTTGGGAAGAGGGGCATAAATGGAAACTTTTATAATTTAATAAAATTACTTTAAAAAAAAACAAGTAACCTATAGGAAGGGCATTTTGCTGTTTTGTTTTGGGAATTTTTTTTCAAGACACAGTTTCTCTGTGCAACAGTCCTGGCTGTCCTGGAACTTGCTCTGTAGACCAGGCAGGAAATATAGGCTAGACAACCAGGCAGGAAGTAGAGGTGGGGCAATGAGAATTCTGGGAAGAGAGAAGTGCATTCTGTAGTTGTGACCCAGCCACAGAGCAAGCAAGATGTGACTGCCAAATAAGGTACCGAGCCATGTGGCTAACATAGACAAGAATAATGGGCTAGTATAAGTTATAAGAGTTAATAAGTAGCCTGAGCTAATGGGCCAATCAGTTTATAACCAATATAGACCTCTGTGTGTTTCTTTGGGACTTAATGATTGCGGGAACTGGGCAGGACAGAAAACCTCATGACAACACTTTGTCCATTAACAGAATTAGACCCAGCAGAAATTATAGTACCTTTTAATACTGATAAAATTGACAAATTATTTGAAGAAAGTGAACTCTGGCAAAGAACTTGTAGTATTTTTTTGAAGAGATTAGCAACAACTATCCCAAAAGTAAGAGAATTCAACTTTTCAAGAGAACTAGCTGGATCCTTTTTCACATTGTATGGGGCACACCAATAACTGGAGCCCCTACATTCTATACTGATGCAAATAAATCAGGAAAGGAAGGTTGCAAATCAGAAAATTTAAGTAAATTGGACCAAAGCCCTTATGATTTGCTCCAAAAATCAAAACTATATGTTATTCTCATGGTACTAAGGAATTTTAAAGAACCTTTCAACATAGTCACTGATTAGAAATATGCAGAAAGAGTTGTTTTGCATATTAAAACAGCTGAATTTATACCAGATCATACAAAATTGATTTCATTACTTTTTTAGTTACTAAAATATAATCAGGAATAGGCAGTAAAAAAGATCTGCCTTTCTCTGCCTCCAAAGTGCTGAGATTAAAGGCATGCACCACCACCACATGTCGTTTGATTATGTTCTTTCTGGAGAACTTTTAAAAAACACAATTTTCAGTTGTGCAAATGGCAGTTAGCAGGTAGGGAACTTACTGCCAACTTGACAACCATATTTCAGTCTCTGAATCTAGTTGTCTTCCACTTACACCATGGCATATGCAAACTAAGCAAGCAAAGGTTGAAATATAAATTTTAAGAATGTCTAAATAGTACTAAATATTGGACTCACTATACAGCTCAGGATGTTCTTTTTACTCTGATCTCCTGACCTTACCTACCACATGCTGGGATTACTAACGTAAGCATTACCACGACTGGCTTAGAAGTTAGCTGTGTAAACCTCGTGCTCATTTGTGAATGCTTCTAGAAGAGTTATAGTCTCCTTGTTTTCCTTTTCCCTAATCATGTCCCAAATTAACATTTAATTAGCCATTGTCACTGAGACTTTAGAGATTAAAAATTGTAACAACATGTTGACCTTAATGAAAACAGTTAAGTAAGGACATCAGAGTTCATCCCTCCATAAAACAAGGAATTATCAAACTGTGGCAATTTAACCAAAGGCTTATCACACTCCGGAATCATTAATTCAAAAGAAAAAACAACTCAACTCAATTTCTGTAAGAATACTAAGATTTGTATCATTTTTAACTTGCCCGATATCATTCCTCATCTGAGCTTCATGGTAACCTTAAAAAAACAGCCCGCAGCCCCACTACTGGCAGAAGCAGAATGGAGCTGCAGTCCCTGCAGAGCCTTGACCCTAGGAATTGGTGGCTTCTAGTGAGACTAGATTTGTCTGTATTTGACCTGACTGAGCATTCGCTACTTCTAGAAACTTCCCCAGAAGATACTTCTGGAAAACGATTGCAGGCAAGTGTTTCAATTGAGGCAGTTACGTGAGGACAGTAAGGACAACAAAGAGCCTAAGAAATAGGACTGATGGGAAAGCAGAGGAACACAATGCCCACAGCAACTTTGAGATGCTCATATGAGAGTTTGGGAAACAGAAGGCCACAAGCACTCTCCTGGGGATTTGGAGAGTCAGGCACATGTGTGTATGCTTAAGCCTCAGTAGAAATCAACCCAAGAATACGGGAGGAGGTCCACCCCTGGCTGATCTTGGAGTTCTGCACATGTAGAAGGGGGAAACTCTAAGGCTGCCTCCAAAAGCACCCACACTAGAATCCCAAGGGCATGCAGGCATGCAGGCAGGAAGGAAAGCAGGTTCCTTAGAAGATGGTCAGAGAAATAAACAGAGGGACCCAGACCCTGATCCAGCATGCATGAAGTATGTGAGGAAAGAAGAAATCCTTTTTTTTTTTCTTCATCTACAAGGTCCATGAGCTTGAGAACATGCCTCCCCATATGAATCTCCTCAGTGTGGGATTCTGTGTAATACAAGTAGATTCCAAGAAATCAGAAATGTTGAGCTGGTATCTTAATCACAGTGCTGAGAGTCACGATGCTTAAACTTGTCATGAGGAAGATGTCCGTGAAGAACAGGCGAAGGTGGCTTGAGCCAGCAGGATCTGGATTCAAACTCTGGGTCTGTAAGTTTCTAGTGAAGAGCTGTAAATAAGATAAGCCTGAAATCGGAATTCTTTTAGTAGCATTTTCCTTACCGAGCAGAGCAGGACTCAAAGACACCTAGAAGGGGCATAACCAGGGCAGGTAGCTCAGCACTGGTGACTTTGTATGTACAACGGGCCAGAGGTAGGAACCCTGGGGATGACAGACACTAGTATGCCCAGGAGCTCTACAAGTGTGAATTTCTTAGAAAGAAATGCAGCTCTCTGCTCTGTAGGTCTGGCCTTAGTTAGGGTTTCTATCACTGTGAAGAGACACCAAGACCATGACAACTCTAATAAAGGAAAACTAATTGGGTGGTTCACAATTTCAGTTTAGTCCAAGATCATCATGGTGGGAGTTGGCGGCATGCAGGCAGACATGGTGCTGGAGAAGGAGCTGAGGGCTCTACATCTTGATCTACAGGCAACAGGAAATGAACTATCTCACTGGGCATGGCTTGAACAGACATGAGACTTCAAAGCCCGCCTCCACAGTGACACACTTTCTCTAACAAGACCACACCTGCTCCAACAAAGCCACCCCTCCTAATAGTGCCACTTCCTTTGGGGGTCATTTTCTCCAAACCACCACAGGTCCAATTAGAAGTAGAAGTCAACTTCATGATAAGAAACAATGCACAACGAGCTGAGTGAAGCTGCCCAGAAGACACAGTCTCTTAGTGGTCCTGCTGCTTGTTAATGGTTTCACTGCAAGGGTTTTGGGAAAAGTGAAAATAAAATAACATGCTTGAATATGTACCACATGCCCAATACTTTTGTAGGAACTTTATGGCACTACTTCATTTGTTTCAGTATTTTATATAGTGACTAGAACAAAACAAATATCTCATGAATGTAGGCATCAAAAAGTTGTTATAGGCAGAGGGAGAATTACTAGAATTGCAAGAGAGGGTGCCTTCCCACACCAGTGGGAAGAATAGGATGCCACAGAGCAAGAAAAGGTATCACAGTGTTTCATGTGACCCTTTCAGAACTGCTGGATGGTTACAAATTAAATAAGTTGCCTAAATCATCCCAAAGGACAGGCTTGAGTTGCTCTTTTCATCTTTAATGTTTGTGTATTTCGATGTGAGAAGAAGCTGCCAGAATACTGTGAAAACCAAAGGGAGGATCGTGTCATGAAAGGAGCAACTTTTTTTGATATATTCAATTTTTTTAGACTTACTAGTTTATGTGTAAGAGTATTATGTCTGCATGTATGTAGGTGTATCACATGCAGAAGTCAGAAGAGTGCATTGGGTCCCCTGGAACTGGAGTTTACAGACAGTTGTGAGCTAGTATGTGGGTACTGGAAATCAAACCCAGGTCCTCTGCAAGAACAACATGTATTTTAAACCACTGAACCATCTCTCCAGCCCCAGAAGCAAACTTTTGGACATGAATAGTTTTCCATAGGAAATCAATGCTGGGGGCTAGAAAGAAGCACTAGAGTATTACCGGGTCCAATTTATGGCCATTTACCCCATGGATATTCTTAATAGTGGGTAGACACTTCAGTAGGGATAAAATTTGAATTTTCCTTTCAGGGTTAAGCTATTGGAACAGCACTGATGGGCTGCAGACAAATTATCACGTGATGTGGGATTTCCCTCTGTATGCTGTGAATGTCATTGGTTAATAAAGGAACTTCTTTGGGCCTATAGCAGAGCTGTAGGGAAACAGAGCTAGGCGGGGAAAACTAAACTGAATAGTTGGAGAGAGGAGGCAGAGTCTAGGAAAAGACAGAGCCTCTGCCAGAGTCAGAAATGCCAAAACTTTGCTGGTAAGCCACTGCCACATGGTGATACACAGATTAATGGAGGTGGGTTAAGTTAATATGTAAGAGTTAGTCAATAAGAAGCTAGAGTTAATGGGCCAAGCAGTGATTTAAATAATATGGCTTCTGTGTGATTATTTTGGGGCTGAGCAGCTGGGAACCAATAAATGGTCTCCTTCCTACAACCATGTGAATATGCTCAGGCTGAATAATGTGTAGCTCTTCTGTCCAGTGAAATCCTTCAGGGAGTTTATTATTAATAGCAATGAGGTGACTAAAAGAATGTTTGCAAACAAGCCACTGGTTTGGACCTGTGGAGACAAATGAAGGAGAAGCACTTTAAAGTCGCGAGGGGGTGTACTTACCATATAGATTGTCAACAACTATTGGTTTTTTGTAATTTTTTTCATATGAAAGAGGCATGATTCCTATTGTCAATAAAACAATGGTACTTAACTAATGAGCTTTGGTGTGTCTTTGACCTAGATTTCAGATTCAAGAGCATCTGATTCTGAAGGTATTGCTAACATGTTTCATCAGGGCTTGTCAGTAACATGGAGGCTGTTAAAATCAGGGGTGACTATAGATCTTGAGAGGTCTGACCATTATCTAATGGGAAATAATAGTAACATGCAGAGTTTATTAATATAGAAACTGCTAGAGCCCCAACCAGGACTTTGACAGGGCCTGTACAACGAAGAAGCCTTTGGGCTTAGGTTTCATTCAGCCCTAGACAAACCTACTTTGGTTGGGATCTTTGTATAGACTTTTGTAATGCAGGGAGGACGGAAGTTCAACTTAACAAGCACTCCAGGAACTGTGTGCTATATATCACAGAATTCCTGGTTTCTCCCTTGGCAACTTGCCTTTGGAAAGATGCAAGAAGCTTGTGTCCTACTAAGGGATATTTCCTGAAGAAAACTCCCTTATCTATCACAAAGAGTTGAGTGTTGGATCTGAACAAAGGACTCAAATTCCCAGCACACACTTGGTGGGTTGTGTCCGTTGTATGATGTGGGATTCCCTTCTGTATGCTGTGAATGCCACTGGTTAGTAAAGAAGCTGCTTCGGGCCTATAGCAGCACAGAAGAGGGCAAGCAGAGAAAGAGAGAGTAGGCAGAATTGAAGAGACACCATGTAGCCACGGCAGGAGACAGACACTGGATGGTGGATGGGACCTTACTGGTAGACCACAACCCCATGGCGATACAAATTAATAGAAATGGGTTAATTTAAGATATAAGACCTAGCTAGAAATATGCATAAGCTAATAGATCAAGCAGTGTTTTTATTAATATAGTTTCTGAGTGGTTATTTTGGGGTGGGCAACCAGGAAATGAATAAACAGCCTCTACCAACAATTGTTGTTAAGGTTTTTTGTTTGTTTGTTTGTTTTTTTATGAGTTCTCACTATCCTGCATAGGTCAGCCTTGAACTCCTGGGTTCAAGACATCCTCCCACCTCAGCATCTGAGTAGCTGGGCTTACAAGCACACACTATGCCTACCTAGCTGAGCCAGTCTGTGACGCTGACTGAATTCTGAGAGGTACCATTGTTCCATTCAGATAACATGATGTGACTATCAATGTCCAATACCAGTTAGCTCTGCTCATCTCATCACAAGGAAGCAAACTCCCTTTCTGCCAAGATGGACACAAACTAGAGATAACAAGTCCATGCTCCTGCATGAGTCTTTCCTAACCCGCCAGACCCTCTGGTTCCTTTCCCCCAAGTTAGGAGTCAGCAAATTGTTCTGGAGAGGGGAGACTGCTACAAAGAACATCTACAGAACAGTTCATCCAGCCCCAGCACACTGCAACCCATCCTTGTATGGGAAGCAACTGTGAATCTGGGTTTCTGACCTACCAGACAGGTTACAGCCACCCAAACTCAGATCCAGAGCAGAAAATCCCTCTTGAGTTTATAATGCCCTCCTGGCCACTGAACGTCACACAAAGTGGGATTTTTTGCTTTGTTGTGTTTTTGACACGAGTCTTCTATTAGTCCAAGACTCCTTCCAACTTATGATCCTCCTGCCTCTGTTTCCTGAGTGCAACTGCTGGTATTTAAGCATATGCCACAATGCCTTACAAACACAGATTTTTAGCTAAAAGCTAATAAAACTCACTTTCTTCTTGAGGAAGAAAAGTATTATATAGAGCCAGGATAGAGCAACAGATTTTCTTAATGAGTATTTTCAACCATATAGCTTAATGCAGATGCAGATGCCATCTTATCCAGGCTGCAAAGGCACCTCTTACCCACAGATAATGCATGACTCAGAGGCATATGTGTCCTGAGAAATAATGTTCTGGGTAATGAGGAGAGAAGTCCTCGGGCAAATCCCCAGCTTTCCATCTCTGGGAAATCACCTCTGCCTTCTGCACCAGGAGCTGGTGTTAATCTTTGCAGCTCTGTCAAGCAGTTGGGAACTGTGCATGGGAGAGGGAATCGGAGTGAAACTCACAAGCGGGTTTCCAAAAACAACATCACACATCAGAGCCACAGCACGAGGGCCCCATGACGATACCTATCAGTGTTACTTGCGTGGTGTTACTTGTGGTGCCCGTCTGAAGGCCAGGAAGGGGAAAGCTGATCGTGTCCTGTAATTTACACACGTCTCCTGCCCTCCTGTGCCTTAGTTTCCTCATTGGAAAAGAATGCATGGGACAAACTATCCACAGTTCACACAGGGTTTTCAGTCAGTGAATCCGCATGGGTTTTAACACGCAAATAAGTATTTACATTCTACTTCACTTACAACTTCTGTAAAAACTGCATTCCATGCCATGCTTGAAATGTTCCATAACTCAGTTCAGTGAGTAAATTGCACCCAAGGTTCCTAAAATAATGCAAAAAAGAGACATAAGTCAATGAAAAGATACTCTTTAGAACATCTGCATTTGTGGTGATTCTAATTTATATGTAATTAAACATAAATTCATTACTTCCTCCATTTGCTAAATAAATCTGAGGATGATACTGGCTTACAATTTATCCTTTCATATTTACATACACAGTATATACATACATTTACACAGTATGTACATACATTTACATACACAGTATGTACATACATTTATACAGTAAATGTTCAGCATATGTATTTACATATGGCATACATTAGCCACAGTAAATGCTCAGCATTTTTGACTGTGATCTCTACTTCTCTAAGGGAGGGTTTTTAGCACCTCTGACATGCAGGTTTGTCCTATATGCTGGAGGATGTTGAGGAACAGCTATGGTGTCTGCCACCTGATGGCAGTATCCTACCCACCATTGCATAGCTGAACCTTTGCACTACAAGAGAACTGGCGTTATCACTACGCACTCTGACTCAGCAGAATTCTCATGTTTGTCCTTATTACAGACTAAAAGGATTTGGCATAGAACTTTTATGACTTTTCACTTGCAGTAAAGTTTTAGTTATTGTACTAAATAATGGATTTCATCATGACAATTTCATATACATAAGTGTCTCTCATTGTACTTTGCTCTTTTCTGTTCCCCTACTCTCCACCCCACTCTGCTGGTGTCCTTCCTCCTATATCAGCCTTACTTTCCTGTCTTCTCTCTCTCTCTCTCTCTCTCTCTCTCTCTCTCTCTCTCTCTCACACACACACACACACACACACACACACACACACACACACACACAATCTAGATTGATTGTCCATATTTGAGAAAAACGTGATGTTTTAGCGTTCTTTATCCCATTATCCTCTTTGTTCTTCATCCTTCTAGACTCCCTTCTCACCCTGCATAGTGCTTCTTCTATTTTTAGCACACACACATAAAATCTAGGAATTCAGGTCATTGGCAGAACACTTGCTTAGCAAGCTTGTCCTATCACTAAAACAAACAAACAAATAAAAATGCAATATTTGTCTTTTCTGAGTCTAGCTTATTGCCTACTGTGAAGTTACAAGTCAGATATCAAAAAATCACAAAGGTGATTAAAATTCAAATATGAAGGGGTTAAATTTGTAACTTACATATACTTCAAAAAAGGTAATGACTCAAATGTCCTTCTTTCAATATAGCGTATTTTATTGCAGGATAAATCCCTAGGAAACATAAAAGGGAAATATTGCTTTGCTTAGCTATTAAGTTTCTAATATGACTATAATAGTATGACTAGTAGGATTAGAGTTTAAAATACATTGTTTTTGTCTAAACTCTAAACTTTTGAATTTGAATATTTTAGAGTCACTTCCTTTGTCTATCCATCTCCTAAGAATCTCACCCTTTATGATATTCATATATATATAAAATAAAACTATGGATCTTGATAGATTTTTTTGAGTTAGTCATTTTGAGAGATTATATAGCTTTTTACACTTGAAACAGGGTCTTTCCATGCAGAGCCAGGCTGACCTCAAACTCCCTGTTTTCCTACCTCAGCCTCCCGAGTCCTGAAATTATTGGCATATACCTGGTACCTGGTACCTCTAAACATGTGGGTTCTCAGCTGTGCTTCAGACTTGCTGACTCCGTAGCTGTGCACTCAGAAGTGATATCAGCCAGCCCTTCAGGTGGTGTTGCGAGATTCCTGGCTGTCTGAGAGCACTGTCTCAGTTCCACGGTCATCACCACGGTGCCTTGGCTTGGCATTCAAATTCCCAGAAGACCTACTGTAGATGCTCACAGGCATTCTTCTCACTCACATCTTTACTTTCGACTCTTGTTTTTAGTGCCTTGCATATTCTCCCCTGAGAGACCTTTCTGGAGTTGTGAGATGTCTTAATGTGTACTGACACCTATAGCTAAGTCTAATGACCTGAGTTCAACGCCCCCAGACCCCCATGGTGGAAGAAGAGAACCAAATCCTGCAAGGTCATCTGATCTCCACACTTGTCTCTGGCATGATCTCTCTCTCTCTCTCTCTCTCTCTCTCTCTCTCTCTCTCTCTCTCTTTCTCTCTCTACACACACACACACACACACACACACACACACACACACACACTGAACAAAAATGTAATAATTTAAGGTTTTCAAAAAGAGGTCTGACACCCAATGTTCAAATGCTTTGGTTTCCAGGTATGGTGGTGCGTGCCTTTAATTCCAGTACTCAGGAGGCAGAGGCAGGGTGATTTCTGCACTCAAGGCCAGCCTGAACTATATTGTGAGTTCCAGGACAGCCAGGGCTACAGAGTGAGGCTGTTTCAAAACACCAATAAAGGGGAAAACTGCACTGGTCGTTTCCTTGAAACACACTCAAATTTTCTCTTGAGTGTCATATATGTTTCAGTTAATGTTTAGAATATTTCTCGATTTAAAAAATTGCTTAACACTGATGGGGCAGTGCTGGCACACACCTTTAATCCCAGCACTTGAGAGGCAGAGGCAGAGGCAGGAGGATTTCTGTGAGTTTGAGGTCAGCCTGGACTACATATTGAGTTCCAGGAAGGCCAAGACTACACAGAGAAACCTTGTCGAGGAAAACAACAAACAAAATTAGCTGGAAGAGGACATGTGAGACGCTGTACCTATTATTGGAGCCATGGTAAGTTATACCTCCGTGTCCATATTTATTACATTTTAATGACTGCATCTAAGTTTTGCCAATCATAAGTGCCTTGAAGGCATGGAGATCTTATCTATATCTATTACCTACTAAGTTTTAGACAGACACAAATATTTAAGCAAAGCACATTTATAAAACTGCAGAAGGCACATGTACATGGCTATTTTGGAAGGAATTCAGTTTATGGCTTTACAGATGACCCTTGTTGCGTATCTGCAGCATTAGGATTTGAATTTGTGTGTTCCTCAACCTGAGAGGGAAGGATCCATGTCCTCCTCACGGCTGTGTCTCCAATTATAGTCAAGGTGTTTGGCATGTTCTGTTTAAGCTAATCTTTTAAGTTGAGAAGCATTTTAAAAATTAATTGGAATATATATGCTAACATGAAACAATTGCTTACAAAGTATTTCATAATATAAATAAAAAAGGAATACTCCGTTAAGAATCATTTCATTGTTTTTCTCCAAACATTCATAATGCTTGACAGTTCAGATGTATAAGATCTCCAAAAGGTCAATTCAAAGGTGGTCATTTTTCAGGGCATGATGGCACACACCTTTAATCCCAGTATTTGTGAGCCAGAAGCAGGTGGATTATTGTGAGTTCAGGCCAGTCTAATCTACATAGCAAGTTGCAGGCCAGCCAGGGCTAACTGGTGAGACCTTGTCCTTCCTTCAGGACCTAGAAGGAAGACTTTTTAACACCATGAGAGGTGCACTTCCTGAAAGCTGCTACAATAGATTGTATAATCTATTTGCTTATACATGTCGCCTTTTGACTCAGTAAGGATTAAAGGCATACACCCATGGGTAAAGGATAGAAACCAAGTTTTCAGTGTGGCTGGCTTTATGTTGAGGTCTTTGATTCATTTGGACTTGAGTTTTGTGTAGGTGATAGATATGGGTCTATTTTCATTCTTTTACGTGTTGATATCCAGTTATGCCAGGACCATTTGTTGAATATGCTTTCTTTGTTCCATTTTATATTTTTTGTTTCTTTGTCAAAACTCAAGTGTTCATAAGTGTGTGGATTGGTATCCGGGTCTTCAATTAGATTCCATTGGTCAGAAATCAAGTTTTCATAATAAACAACATAGATTTTTAGGGGAGACTGTGAATGCAGTCCCCTGCTACCATAAATTATGCAGTCAAGTTTCCCCAACTGGGGGAAATTGCAAGGGTCAGCACATCCAAAGTGTGGTGGGTAAGCCTTGCCCCAGGAAAATCACCCTGCCAGTTAGGTATTACATTCTTATATCTAAAGAAGCAGAATTATTGTGAAGTATTTCTTTTTTGGCAACAAGATTGCTGAAATTTTTATTGTTTAGTTAGTGGATTTCATTGTATAGTTCTGGTTGTCCTGGGACTAATTAGAAATACTTTCTAAACATCATTTCTAATAATCTATTTCTGACATGGGCATAAAAATGCTTACATTGAAAGTTTTAATAGTAATCTATTCTCCTAACAGGTTTATCATGTTGATGATATCATTTATGTAATTTGTGTGTATAGCTAATTACTTAATATGGCAATGTTAAATTTAATTTGGATTAAATGTAAGAACATGTTGGGTATGGTAGGCACATATCTATAATTCCAGCATTTGGGTTGTAAGACTAAAGTAGGCAGATTGGGGTAAGTTCAAAGTCAGCCTAAGCTATATAGGGAGACCTAGGCACAGAAAAAAATAAGGGATATAGTACAGTTGGGCCCCAAGACTGCATAAACCGTGTGGTGGTGGTTGCCATTAATCCTAGCACTTGTGAGGTAGAGTCCAAAAAGTCAGGTGTTCAAGGTCAACCTTAGCTTTTTAGAGAATTCGAAGGCAGTCTAGGCTTATATTAGGCCATGCTTCAAAAAGTATAAAAACAAACCCCAAAAAACTGTTAAAACATTCTGGGTTGCCTGGAGGTGGTGGCCCATGCCTTTAGTCTCAGCACTCAGGAGGCAGAGACAAGTAGATCTCTGAGTTCAAGGCCAGCCTAGTCTACAGATTGAATTCTAGGACAACCAGGGTTACACAGAGAAACCCTGTCTAGAAAAACAAAAACGCAAACAAACAAACAAGCAAACAAAAAACTAACAAAAATCAAAACAAAACCCAAAAAGCACTCTGAGTCAATGACCTTCAAGTTAATGTAAATGGCTCTTTCTTCTTTTTGATGGGACAGCTTGAAGTTAGTATTAATTCCATCTATCCTACCATGTAATCTTTTTTGTAAAGGTTATATTAGCAAATATTTTAGAGTTTTAAGGCCACACATAGTCTCTATTGCAATTCTTTACTGGTTATCTTTTTTTTTTTTTCCTTTTTTAGCCCTGTTAATTGTTTGGATATGAAGTACCCTATTCCCCGCCACTGCCAACCTGAAATATAAGAAAAGGATCATATACTGAAGGTTTGGTTCTCAGCTGGGGGTCTCTTAGTCAGTAGGCAGTAAGGTCTCCATGGCTTAACTCACTGCTGAGTTCCTTCTGAATGTGCCACGAGGAGGTGGAGCCTAACGGGGACAGGCAAATGGGGGCGTGTCTTGTTACTGGGAATTTCTAATGGGAGATGCAGGTGAATAGGGGCCTGTCTTATGACTAGGAATTTCCAACAGGAGACGCATGTGAATGGGGGCATGTTTTGTTACTGGGAACTTCTCTCACCCTTTCTGAAGTTTTGCCCTTCCACCATCATGCTCTGCCTCACCACAGGCCCAGAAACAATGGAACCAGCCACCATGAGCCAAAAACCTCTGAGCGAAAGGGTCAAAATGAATCTTGCCTCCTTTCGGCTCTTCTCATCAGGCACCCTGTCCCCTCAACACAAAGGGCACTGGCACAAATCCTCTAAAGGTGTCAAACCACTCCTAACTCACGGGCTGCAGTAAACGAGAACATGGATCATACCTGATGGAGGTGTGACCGACTAGTTCCAAATACAAGCATATGCCTTAGAAAGCAAGGGTCATGGGAATTCCATTAACTGCTCAGACCTTACTAACATTTCCCCTTGCAAATGAAGTGCTTCTATCTGAAGCTTGTCCATATAAGTTAAGAAATTTAAAATGCAAGAAGGCATTTTCATGTTAGAGATGGGCTGACACCCCATCCCCAGACTGACTAACTGCAGATTTTGTTTTATTACGTTTTTGCCTTGAGAGCCAGGGTCTTGCCAAGCAGTCCTGGAATTGGTATGAAACCCACTATGTAGACCATTCAGATCTTCAACTTTCAGCAATCCTCCTGTTTTCTACCTCCGCAGTGCTGGGATTATAGGCAAGCACTGTCAAACCCATTAGACAGATGAAGATCTATCTAATTCAAATCCCTTGTTCATCCATAGATAACACATAACTGACAAATAGATATGCTTAACTAACTTACAAAACCTGGAGGGACAGCAGGCCTTCAAATGAGTCCTTATGTAATTCAGTCAGGAGGTTTTCACTGAGAATTCTGAAAGATTAAAGGTTATCTGGATCAAAAATTCTCAGACAGACGGAGAACATCCAGTGGGTGAGAAGGGATGGAGAAATAGATGCTGTCTTATGCTATTGCCCTGAGTACATGTTGGCTCCATTTGTTTTTAGGGCAACTAAAATTTCACCTAGACAATGGTCTCCACCCTGGAGATTTCATTTCTAGGTATCTAGTTTACAGAAACTTATGCATGTTTAGAAAGAAGTATATAGGATATTTATTTCAGCCATATATATATAACAGAAAAACCAGATATTCTCCAAACATCAGTGGGCTAATATTAAAATCTCACTAATGTGTACATACTATGAAATATTATGTATAATTGGAGATATATAGAGTAACTATGAGTTAAAAAGAAACTTTACATATCATGAAGTGAAAATATCAAGTTGAAGAATGTTATCACTTATACAGCTATGACAAATTGGTGTCAAACTTATTCTCCTAAATATGTCTGGAAAGATATATCAAATTTACAGCAGTGGTTACCTGTCCTAGTTAATTTTTTCAACTTGACACAACTAGGGTCATTTGCAAAGAGGAGATCTCAATTGAGAAAATGTCTCCACTGTGGGCAATGGGGCATTTTCTTTATTAATTATTGATATGTGGGGCCCAGCCTAATATGGACAGTGCCATCTTGAGCAGGTAGTTCTGGGTTGTATGAGAAAGCAAATTTACCAACCCAGAAGGAGTAAGCTAGCAAGAGTGTTCTTTCATGGCGTCTGCTTCAGTTCCTGCCTCTGGGTTCCTTTCTGAAGTCCCTGCCCTGATTTTCCTTCATGGAGAATTACAGTTGTAAGGGGGCTTTCCTCTCCCAGTTGCTTTTGCTTATGGTCTCTGTCCCTCAAGCAAAATAAAATGAATCCATTACCTCAGAGGTGAAAAATTAGAGCACAAGGAAAGTTTCTCTATACCTGATATTTAATTTATATTCATTAAGAATGCAATTGTAGGCCAGGTGTGGTTACACATCTTTAACCTAGCACTTAAGAAGGAAAAGCAGACAGATTTCTTTGAGCTTAAGGCCAGCCTGATCTACTTAGTGAAGTTTCAGGTCAGTCAAGGTTACATCTCTAGACTGTCTAAAAAACACAACCAATAAATGTTATTGTAGATGACTTCTATATGGGATACAAACTTAAATTGTCACTCTTTTCAAAGAAAGTCCATAAAATTTACTTTTAAGATCTGGGCAACAAAATAACCCCAAGGGAAAGTGGACTTGTTGCCAAGACTGAAACCTGATCCAGTCTCCGGGCAGAAGAAGATCAGGTTTTATAAGCTGTCCTCTGACCTCCATGAGCATGCCCTGGCTTTGTGTGTTCATGGAAATACATACAAAATGAGATGTAAAATAACTTTTGACTGAATTGATAGTGTTTCAACCTATGGTCTCATGCATGCTAGGCAACTATTCTCCCCCTGAGCTACACCTTAGTCCCCACAAAATTTACCTGAGAAATGCAGTCGGTATAGGTTGATTTTGGTTGCGAAGAGGAAATACCTTTTCTCAGAGGTATTTACCTTAAAATCTGGACCAAGGAGGCTCTTACAGTGTAGTGTTTTGTTGCTGCTGTTATTTACTTTTGTATTCTTATTTGTAGAAAATATACTCACAGTTTCTCAGTCCAACGGTATGCTCTCCATACATTTTTGTCAATGTAAGAAATAGCATTTCCTTGGAAATTCCTGTGAAGAAACAGTTCATATACTTGAGTAAATAGGAAAAGACTAAGCAGAAGCAGTAAAATCTTCGCACCCTCATGGAGGTGTTCAATGCAGAACGAAGAAAACCACCGATCTTCTAATTCCCAGATCTATCAGTTCCCGAGGGCTCCTGGTGCAAGCAGTGAGATGTCTCCTCGGAAACGGAACTTCTAGTCTGTGGGTGCACTTTCCACTTCCCTCTCTGTTGTACATCATACAGCTCAGCTCGAAATTTAGCTTGTCACTAAATCCTGTCTTCTCTTCCTCATGGGCCACCATGGTGGAGGGCTTGGAGGCATATATATATATATATATATTCTAAAATGATCTAAGATATGAGAATGATGGGAAATGCCCATAAGCCTAGGAAACTCCAGGTCAGACTATATTACTAGTTTGTCTTTATAAAAACATTATACTGTCTTATTATTTTTTTCTTTCCTGGAAACTTCTAATGGCTTTCTGTGTCTCCCTGTGTCACTCTTAAAATCTTGTAGTTGATAGTATGTTTCCCAGTTTTTAATCTGACTAAATCCCCAGTATTCTCACAGCCATGCCTTTGCCTAGGCTGTACGCTCTGGTTTTAGTCTATTCAATAATAGACATACTTTGAGCCACAGGTGAAGGTTTAATGCTCCCCTTTTCCTGATGTATCATTTTTATGTTCTAGAGATAACACCATATATATGTGGCTCTCACAGTTCTTAACCTCAAGTTGTGCACAAATGGTTATACATCCTAGAACAAAGATGAGCTCTGAACAGAACTGAGAGATTGCATAGTATTAATAGCCAACATTCACGTATGTTAAGACTTAGATAAGTATTCCAGGTAATCAACTAACCCTCACAACAATCCTATGAAATAGTAACCTCATACTCCACATTTCACAGGGGAGGGAATTAAGTCACAGCTAAGCACTCTTCCTAGAGTTGCAGAACTACCACATGAAAGACCTGGGGTCAAACCCCAGGAGTCTGAATCTCCTTTGACCTCTTCATTGCATGCTTACTGATGAGATGAGTTATAGAGAGGCTGGTGTGAAAATGAAAGAGCCAAAGTTGAGCAATGATACAAAGGGGCTAAGTGGAGAAGGGAGCACTTTAGAAAGACGGAGGATGAGGACAAAGAATTCATAAGCAAAAGTAAAAGCAGAAAGTCAGCCAGTGTTGGTTGGGGTGACAAGGAAGGTCCAGCAAGGCTTTGAGGAAAAGACTGCCATGTCAAGTAGAATGTAAAACAGAAATAAGAAAAGGTTATTCTTACAAAACAGTTAAAGTGCCTTTGTAGGTGCTGGGCCTTGGCACAGGCACTTGGTGGAGTCTCCGCATTGGGCTGAGATGAATACACAATAGTGTGCCATTTTCACACAAGCAGAAGTCACATAGGTTGGTGATCATGGAGGCATTTTGTTTCATTTTAATAATTAGCCTTTTTTCTGTATTAAAATGTGCAGCATATGGAGTTACGGTATATTCCACATCCATAGGTTGGAGTGTGACTTCACTTGGGATTTGCTGAGTCTGAAACTGTTCTGGAGATGGAAGTATCATCTTAGGATATGATGGAGGAACTGTAACTGTTGGGACTTCACGCTCTATGGTTTCTGAATTTGGATGCTGAGATGTGATCTCAGTAACAGGTGGAGAATGGCTTACCACTGTAACAGGTTGTGGAGTTGTGGAAGATTCTGTGTGTGAAGACAGGGTTGTGACCTGAGTTGGATTTGGCTGCTGAGTCTGAACCTGGTTTGGAGGTGAAAGTGTGACCTCATGGTGTGTTGGAGGAGGGGATGTAGTTGTTGGGACTGTAGAACGTGTAGTCTTTTGAGTAGCCTCTGAGCTTGGCTGCTGAGATTGATCATGAACTAGAGTTGTCACTTCAAAATGTACTGAAGATTGAGTTACCGTCCCCTTAGGAGACTCTGTAGGCTGAACTGGTGCCGAACGTTTAACCACTGTAGCAGGTCGTGGAGTTATGGAAAACTCTGGGTGTGAAGTGGCTTGAGTTGGGTTTACATGCTGATCCTGAACCTGGTCTTCAGGTACGAGGGTGATCTCTTGGTGTTTTGGAGGAAAAGCTGTAATATTATATGGGGCTACAAAACCTCCAGTCTCTGCAGTGGATATTACAGGCAGGGTATGGTCTACTTCTGTATGTTGATCCGTGGCTTTAGAAAGAGTCGGCTGCTGAGTGTGATCCTGAATTGCTGGGATTTCATAAAACACTGGTGCTTGAGCTGCAACCTCCTCATGTGGCTGCTCAGGCTCAGGAAGTATTTCCTGTGTGCTTGAAGAAGGTTCAACATCCAGATGGGAAGTTGGAGTTACTGTAACTACAGCTTTGGAAGTGTCTTGTTCTAGAAGTGCCATCTTATGGAACTGTGGAGGAGAAACTGTAGTTTCCTGTGCGGCTGTAAAATATTCAGTCACTTTGGTAGGTTCTGAATTCACAGTGGATTCTAGGTCTAAAGGCTGAGATGAGACAACAGGTGTTGTTAGATGCTCAGTTGGTTCCGGACTTGGTGGTGCTGTAGGGACAACGTTTGTAGTTGTATCTGGGGGCTGAGTTGTGGTCTCCTGTGTAGTTTGAGTAAGTTCTACCTCAGAAGTAGATTTTGAAGTTATGATGGGTTCCTGATCCAAAGGTTGAACTGTAACTTCAGTTGGGTGTGGATGCTGAGTGTGAACCTGAGATGGTGTTGGAAATGTCACTTCTTGAAATTCAGGGGCTTGAGCCCGTATCTCTTTAGGTGAATCAGAGGGCTGAGTTATGGCCTCTTGCATAATTTGAGGAAGCTCTACTTGAGCAGTAGGTTGATGAGCTATGGTGAGTTCTAGGTCCAAAGGCTGAAAGGAGAAAACAGGTGCTGTTGGATACTCAGTGTGATCCTGACGTGGTGTCAGAAGTGTCACCTCCTGATATATTGGGACTGGAACTATGATCACTCTAGGTGGTTGTGAAATCTGAGTTGCGGTCTCGGGCAGAGTTTGAGGAAGTTCTCCCTCAGGAGTAGGTTGTGGAGTTATGGTAAGTTCCAGATCCAAAGGTTGAACTGTTGGGGGCTTAGGAGGAGGAACTGTACTCATCTTTGTGGTTGTAGGAGGTTGAGTCTCTCTGGTAGGCTCTGAACTTATAGTGAGTTCCAAGTCCAAAGGCTGAAAGGAGACAGCAGGCATTGTTGGATACTCAGGTTGACCATGATGTGGTGTTGGAAGTGTCACCTCCTGATACATTGGGGCTGGAACTACAGCCTCTCTAGGTGGTTCTGTAAGATGAGTTGTGGTCTCTGGCATAGCTTGAGGAAGTTCTCCCTCAGAAGTATGTTGTGGAGTTATGGTAAGTTCCAGATCCACAGGCTGAAAGGAGACCACAGGCATTATTGGATACTCATCTTGATCCTGACTTGGCGTTGGAATTGCCATCTGCTGATATATTGGCACTGGAGCTACAACCTTTTTAGGTGGTTCTGAAATCTGGGTTGTAATCTCTGACACAATTTGAGAACATTCTCCCTCAGTAGTAAACTGTGAAGTTATGGTAAGTTCCAGATCCAAAGGTTGAACTGTTGGGGGCTTAGGAGGAGGAACTGTACTCATCTTTGTGGTTGTAGGAGGCTGAGTCTCTCTAGTAGGCTCTGAACTTATAGTGAGTTCCAAGTCCAAAGGCTGAAAGGAGACAACAGGTGCCGTTGGATACTCAGTGTGATCCTGATGTGGTGTTGGAAGTGTCACCTCCTGATACACTGGGGCTGAAGTTACAGCTTCTGTAGTTGATTCTGTAAGATGAGTTGTGCTCTCTGGTATGGTTTGAGGAAGCTCTTCTTGAGCAGTAGGTTGATGAGTTATGGTGAGATCCAGATCCAAAGGTTGAACGTGAGGGGGCTTTGGTGGAGGAACTGTAGTCTTTGTGGTTGTAGGAGGCTGAGTCTCTCTAGTAGGCTCTGAATTTATGGTGAGTTCTAGGTCCAATGGCTGAAAGGAGAAAACAGGTGCTGTTGGATACTCAGTGTGATCCTGACGTGGTGTTGGAGGTGTCACCACATGATATATTGGGACTGGAACTATGATCACTCTAGGTGGTTGTGAAATCTGAGTTGCGGTCTCGGGCAGAGTTTGAGGAAGTTCTTCAGCAGTCGATTGATGAGTTACGGTAAGTTCCATATCCAAAGGTTGCTGAGTCTGATGTGGAAATGTCACCAGAGGATGTGCTGGTGGAGGTGTAGTCTTCTTTGGTACTGTAGCGTGGTCTGCTTCTGGAGTATATTGTGAAGTTATGGTGAGTTCCAGGTCCAAAGGCTGAAACGTGATAATGGGTGATGCTGAGTACTCAACTTGAATCTGACCTGGTGTTGAGACTGTCATCTGATATGTTGGAGGGTACATTACAATATTGTTCACTGACTCTGGAAGCTGGTGTGGGACTACTTGTTGGGTTGCAGAAAGTTCTGTCTCCTTAGGGTGTTCTGAGACCTGTGGATGGGTGGGCTGTAGTGCTGGAAATAGTTCCACATCCTCAGAGAGGTCTGCAGGTTGAGAGCGGGTCATAAGCTGAGCTGGAGAAGGTTCTGCACCCATAGTAGAATCTGGAGGTAGATATGGACCTTCCTGCTGAGTTGGGAAAGGATAAACCCCTTTGTGGAGGTCTGCTTTCTGAGCTATGGCCCCTTGCTGAGAAAATTCAGATTCAGGGGACTCAGTTTGGACTTGTAAAAATTCAACTTGTTCAGTGGAACCTATAGGCTGAAGTAGGTCCTCCTCCTGCTCCTGAAGGGAGTAAACTTTCATAGAGGACTCTGGAGCTCTGGTTCGTGCTTGGTTTGGATGTTTAACTGTGGTTTTATGCAATATTGAATGCTCATATTTGAATATTGCTTCCAGATCTTCAGGTGAAAAGTACAGGGTATCTCCCAGTGGAGGAAGAAAAAAATCTTTAGGTGGTTCTAGAGGTTTATCTGGGTGTTCTTGCTGATATGGTGAAAATTCTGTACCCAAAGTGTGCTTTATGGGTGAAGATATGTTCCCCTGCTGCCCTGAAGAAACTTCCCCAGGAAGCTCCTCAGGCTGGGAGGGGACATCCGGATGAACTGAAGAATGCTGTTGGTTTTCAAGAAGGGTTGGAGGCTGCGTTATAACTTCTTGCTGGTCTTTCGAAGGTTCAAACCCTTGTTGGCTTGAAGTTCCAACTTCATTAATCAACACTGGAGGCTTAGCTGTGATCCCGTGTGGTGCTGGAAGATGAACTTGACTAGGAACCAGGTCAGGACCTGTTGCCTCATGGTGTGCTGGAGGTTGAACTACTGTTTCATGAGGGAGCTCTTGAGTTTGCACTGGGGTCTCCTGCTGGGCTGAAGAAGGTTCAAGCTCCTCTGGGAGTTCTGGATTCTGATCTGTGCCCTCCTGCTGGTTTAGAGAAGGGTTTTCATACTGAACAGGTTCTAGAGTTTGAACTGGAGACTCCTGTTGATTTGATAAGGGTTTGATCCCTTCAGAAGGCTCTGGAGTTACAGCTGGATTGGTATACTGGGTTGTAGAAGTGCCTACATCCTTTTCTGGGACTGTAATTGGTTTAACTGTAGCTTCCTGATGCATTGGAGGAGGTCCCATCTCTGTTGTGGGTTCTTGTGTTATGGTTAACTGCATATCCGGAGGTTGAACACTTATAGAGGATAAGTTTGAATGGTGAGTTTGATGGTGAATTGAGGGTGATACTGTCACTTCATGATATTCTGAAGGCAGAGTTGGTTGTTCTTGTTGGGTTAGAGCATGTTCTGAGGATTGAGTTGGAATTTCCAGTTCAGAAGGCTGAGCTGGCTGTTCCTGCTCACTGAGAAAAGGCTCCGCCCCTTCAGTGTACTCTAGAGGATGCACTGGGGACTCATGCTGCGTCAGAGAAGATTCCATCTCCTTGGTAGGTTCTGAAGTTATGGTAAGTGCCACATCCACAGGCCTAACTGCAACATGTGGCAAATGATAATGGTGCTCTTCACTCTGAGTTGGCTGGAGTGTCACTTGGTGAATTGGTGGAGTTTCAACTACGTTCTCAACAGCAGACTCTGAAGCTTGAAGGGGAGGCACTTGCTCAGTTGGAGGCATGGCTTCCTCAGGGAGTTCTACAGGTATAACTAAGACTTCTGGATGGCTTCCAGAACCTGATCCTACCTCCTCAAGAGACTCAGAAGGTTGAGCTGGCTGCTCTAGTTCTATAGGAGCAGACTCATCCTCCAGAAGAGGGCCTGGATGCTGCGATGGGACATCCTGCTGCATTAGAGAAGCTTCCTCCTCCTCTTCCTCAGCTTCCTCTGGAAACTGAATTTGGGATTCCAGACCACTTTCAGATGATTCAATCTCTGCAGGAGATTCAGAAAGTTCATCTGGATGCTGCTCCAGGCTAGGATAATGTGCAGCTTGCACAAGAAGACCTGAAGTCTGAGTTGGAGTCTGCTCCTGAGTTGGGGACATTTCAACCTCCTTAAAAGGTTCAGAAGTTATTGTGAGTGCCACATCTGGAGGTTTAACTGTAATCATGGGCAAAGTATCATGGTGAACTTGATACTGAGTGGGATATGGAATGGTTGCTGCTGGAGTTTCAGCTATACTCTGCGTAGAGGATTCTGAAACTGGAACTGTACCCTCTTGCTCAACTAAAGGACTGATTTCTTCAGGGAGCTTTGTAGGCAGAGCTGGAACTTCTAGCTGGATACCAGAATTTTCAAGGTCTTCAGGAAGCTCTAAAATCTCAGCTGGGGCCTCTTGTTGAGTTGATGAAGGCTCCAACCCCTCACTGAGCTCTGGAGTTGGAGCCAAGGACTCTTGCTGGGATAACGGAGGTTCTAACTCCTGAGAAAACTCTGAATTTGGGGCTGCAGCCTCTTGTTGGATTAATGAAGGTGCTACCTCCCCAGGACCTTCTAAAAGCTGGACTGAGGCCTCTTGTTGGATTAATGGAGGTCCCATATCCTCAGCACTCTCTGAAAGATGACCTGGGGCCTGCTTTTGGCTCAAAGTATGTTGAGTCTCTTTATCTGCCCCTGAGATTACGGTCACCTCCAGATCTAAAGGCTTCACTGTGACATTTGGCATGTTTGAGTGCTGAGATTGAATTCTATCTGGAGGAGGATCATTTATTTCAGGCTGCTCTATTGCCGCAGCCTCCTCAGAAGTGAACTGATGAACTGGTTCTTCTTTCTGAACTGAAGAATCGTTTTCCTCACGACGGGGTGAGAGGTGATTCCAGCCTTTTTGAGCTGCACCAAGGTTCTCTGAATCTTGAGATTGTGCCTCCAGCTGGTATTCAGGAGGCTCAACCTGCCCAGATGGCTCTGGAGGCTCCTTTCTGTTCCCCTGGGATTGCAGAGATAAGCTGTCAGAATAAGCTTCATTCATACTTGGATACCAATAATCATCCTCCATAGTTTCTTTTCGCGATGGAGGTTTTGCAAATCGGTTTGCAGTAGTTCCAACAATCACCTTAGCAAATTTCTTGTGCTGAGCTAGATCTTTCTTCAAGTCCTGGGGTGAAGCTATGAACTTTGTTACTCTCGAATTCTCACTGTCTAGTGATGGAGCAAGTATTTCATATAACTGATTATCTGTAGCCTGGTCCAGATCGGAGATACGTTTGAACTGTGGAGAATGATTTTGATCCCCTTTTAGCTTTAAAATGTTCTCTGGCAGCTTCCTCGGTGGAGTCATTTTGTTGGTCAGATGCTGATGTGGAACAGTGAACTGATCTGACTCTGGGTGCGGCTGCGCAGAGGTATCCGTATCTTGGAATGAAAGAAAACTCTCCGTCAACTCCAGGGGTGGGGAGAACATCTGAGAGGGAGCAGAGGACCCCAGGTAATCAAAGTTCCCTGCACCTGCCTGGGATGTGTGAGCTTGCGGGGGTTTGGGCGGACGATCAGAGAGGTGCCACCAGAGCTTGGTCGGCACCCAGGGCTCTGAAGTCAACCGAACTGGGTTCTGGACCCACCCCGCAATATGATCGGCCTGGATCACCACCAGCAAAACTTGTCCGGTGAGGAAAAGACTTGGGGCGCAGAAGCAGAAGCTCAGTGGAGTCATGACATGTGGTAAGGACATGGCATGCAGTATGGAGGCGATCCACAGTGCTGCAGTGCGCTGGCGGGAGATAAACGGGAGGAAAAACCCCTGACCTCAGGGAGCCTTGGCAACTGTGGCTGCCCTGCCCCGCCCTTTATGACAGGATTCCTTTGTTACAAAAGCGTCACTAAGTGGATTCTGTACTATGAAGGGAACCTTCTACGTGATAGGGCCCAAGTTTCCCTTACTCAGGCTGAAAAGAACACCGATTTCTTCGGGGTCCACTAACCCTAACCCGGATTTATGTCTCAGTCCAGGGTGTTGCTTACTCAGCAGCCCCTTGTTTCTGTGGGGCAGAACTTCTAAAGTATCCAGGCAGGGTGGAGAGTGGACTCAAAAATGCCTATCCAGGCCCAGGCTCTTTAACTCCTCTTTTTCAATCACAAACAATCCGAAGTTATAAACGTTAAAATAGACCAAAAGCTTGTTGGTGTTTTGGAATAAAGAATAAATTTGTAGGTATGTCCAAAATATGTCCTTCCCACCCAAAAGCAAGATATTTAAGACCTTCCCCACCCCCAAATACACACCTATATGCTTTCATATTAGTTAAATGGTCTATTTCTCAGGAGGAACATATACCCAGCCATTATGTTACTGATTCAAATAATCTAAATTTTGCTTCAAAAACAGAAACTGAGTTAACATGTAAAGGATTTTTGTGGGTAATTATAGTAATCAGGGAAGCTGGGGATAAAGTCAGGGTCCTGATGAGTATAACAGCGGTTTTCTCACCTTAGGTGATTGTTAGCTTGGGGGCAAGGGTCCCAGACAGTCAATGGCAACCAAAGTCACCACAGGCCAGTGGTTACTGGATCCTTTGTCTAGTGAAGTCGGGGGATGAATTTCATAGGCAACAGGAAGATGGATTTATAGAAAAGACTTTATCATAGGTCACCCTAATACACACACACACAGAGAGATGAATACATGTGCACACACAGAGAGATGAATATACAAATGAATAAATCTTGAAAACTGAGAAAAACTATAGGAAGCAAGCTGAGCTCCTGCAAGAGCAGGTGCCAAAGATGGTTGGTTACCCAGAGTCCCTATCCAGAGGTTAGCAAAATTTTGCCAGATTGAGCACGAGCTGCTCAGTCCAGGTGTCCCACCCAGGAGATATTCATGTGCCTCTCCATTCAGACAGTTGTGTCTAGATTGAAATTTAGGTCATGCCCTTATACATAGTTTCTAGGAAGTTATACTCATTACTGTCTATAATGAGAGGAAAAAAAAAACCAAGAAACTGTAACCAGTGTTCCTAAGTAATTTTATCATTTCTGTTTCTGGCTAAATATAATATTCTGGCTTCTCAACTGCCTGATTGTTTACTTTTTTCCTGTTTCCATCAATACTCATTTGTTGCTGGCTTTTTGAAATAAGCGTATTATATGAACCTTTTAAGATGTAAAACGAGGATAACCCTTAATCAAGCTGGTAGCCACCCAACTAGAATTGTTAGTGTGTTCATGTTTGTGTTTATGGTTTATCTTTGTGTGGTCCTAAGTGTACCATTGTAATTCTCTTTAAAGATAATTAGACTGCCCTAACATTGTGCACTCCAAATGTTACTTCCTCACAAAAGATATTTGACATTGATCATTCATTTAAGGGGTACATCTCTCAACAAGTACTTAATTTTCAAATGAGTTTCTTTAAATATTTGCTCTTAGAGTCAGATGTGATGGTGTACACCTTTAATTCCAGCACTCCAGAGGTAGAGGCAGGCCAATGAGAGCTACACAGTAAGACACTTTCAGTTGCTTAAAATTGGCCCTAAAGGATTTCATTGATAGTCATTTCCCAACATTTGTTATTTCACCAATGGTGGAGTCATATCAGACTAACCATGACAGATCTCTTCCTGGTAACAAGGGATGGTTGAAATCAACTCACTGGGTGGATAATCAGTGATGTTTTCAGGGAATATTTAGAAAGAAAGAGAGCATTTCCAGAACAGAAACAAACAAATGTCACACATTGCAGAGTGGCCCTTATCCATAATTGCAGTATCTGAGAGCTAGGCATGAAGATTATGAATTTGCGGTTAGGCCTGGACTATACTGTATAGCAAGGCTCTAAGTGTCTTAAAACCAACAGCAAAAATCGAGTCACTTTCGGAATGGAGTCTTTCCAAAAGTAACTAAAACCAAGAAATTCTGGAGAAATGGTTCTTATACATGGTTACGTGTTCTGATTATTTTCTGACCTTGGGTCCTACATGAATTCTGTTTATGACAATTTTTGCAGATACAGGTATAGTTCACCTCAATATTAATATGCAAAAACAAAGAGTGGGGAAATGTGACCTTCCTGGTAGGAAGAACATATTCTAAAAAGACACTTGTGTCCCTCCCTTGATTAATAGACTATTGAAACAATGGACTGCAAGAAACTGGGATCCCCTTCCACGCACACCAAATCTCAGATTGGGAGAAGGAAAAGATTGAGACAGTGATGGGTTAATGGTGGTCACGACCGGGACTGATTACTTATACATACCATTTCCTCTCTAAAGGTAATCCCATGTCAGAGTCCTAAAGATGGACTCTGAAACCACTGGACCTGTTGACCTGTTCTTCTTCCTAGTGTGGCTAAATGAATCTCTTTTCTCTGACTTTCACCATTACCTCTCCCTCCTTTTTTAAAAATGTGTTTACTTTTATTTTATGTATGTGTGTTTGTGCTTGTGTATGTATGTATACCGTGTGTGTGCAGGTGCCCACAGAGGATGAAAGATTCCTTGGATTCCTTGGAACTGGAGTTACAGAAAGCAGTGAATGGCCCTATATGAGTGTAGGAGACCCTATATGTTGCAGTCCTCTGCGAGAGCAGCAAGTGCTCTTAACTGCTGGGCTGTTTCTCTCCTCAACCCTTTAACTGGCATATTCATGACAGGTAGCTGAGCTTAGTTTGTTAGAATTGCCAGGGCCCAGGCTTTGCTCCTAAAAATTCCAGTTAACACCCGCATTGGCAAAACAGAGATTACATGCCAGGACATTGCATACAGAATAACTTGCCATGAGACCCTACTCCACAACTATTCTCCCCCAAACCACTGTCTTATGCTGTAGTTACTTGCTATTGTCTAGCCTACTAGTATTCTTCTTAGACCCAAGTCAGCTTGATAATATGCTCAGTGTGAGTGTGTGTGTGTGTGTGTGTGTGTGTGAGTGACTGACTTAGACCTGAACCTAGGGCTCATCACCATGCCTGATAATTACTCTTGGTGTAGGGTAAGTTGAGGTAGCAACCTTGAATAACCAGTCTATTAACGTGAAACAGATTCAAGTTTGAGGCATGGTAGAAAGGAAGGAATTGTCGGCCAGGAATGGAAACATTCATTCTTTAGACCATAGTAGAAAGTGAAGCATTCTAAAGTTTATGCACTGATAGGGTTTTCTTGAGTAACAACAACAACAAAGGTTTAGTTGATAAATAATTGGTGGTCTGCACTTATTTCATTCTGTTATATATTTGAATTTAGTTTTCATTTAAATTGGTAAAATTATTTTGCCTTTTTATGATTAAATTTTGACATAAAGTTATCATTATATTGACTTACCAGTATATATGTTCCATATGCTGCCATTAGAAATATTATACATGTTTACATAGTAAAGTCTCCCCAAAAGGGTCTAATTTAAATTCATTTCTAAGTAAGTGCACACATAACTTTAGTCCAAATTCCTTTTAAATCAGTAATATTTAAATAAACCTAATAATTCTAATTTGTTGGTAAGATAAAAATGCCTCTAGAATTATTATCACATTTTAAAAATGTTCTCACTTTACATTTTATTTTTGTGTATGTGACCTTGCACACACACACACACACCACTGTGAGAGGACAACTTGTGGGTGTCAATTCCCTCCTGGGGAGCAAACCTATGTCTTCAGGCATGGTAGCAACCACTTTCAGCTGCTGAACTAGCTTCACTGCACCACTCCCAAACAAAACCCTACAAGACAAAACAAAAAAACAAAGCACAAAAAAGAAAAATAAAAAGAAAGAAACCTTCTAGTATGAAAAAGATATAAAAATACAGCAAAAACCATTTTTTAAAAAGATTTTTAAGTGTGTGTGTGTGTGTGTGTGTGTGTGTGTGTGTGCACGTGCACACACACATGAGTGAAAGTTCCTGTAGAGGACAGTGGCTTCAGATTCCTTTGGAGGTAGAGTTACAAGCAATTATGAGCCACCTGACATGGGTGGTGGGAACCAAACCTGGGCCCACTGCAAGAGCAGCAAGCACTCAATCACTGAACCATCTCTTCAGCCCTTAAAAATGTGTTTTTGCTGGGCTGGTGACAAAGGTTTATGATTCTGTCTGCTCAGGATGCTGTTTCAGGAGAATTGCAGTTCTAGGACTGAGTAGTCTACAGAAGGGATTCAAGGCCAGCTTGGGTGTGCAACTGACACCCTGGCTCAAGATAACAAGGGGGAAACCCGAAGGTGTGACTCAGTAGCAGGGTACTTGCTTAGCCTGTTCTAGGACCTGGGCTCAATCCTCAGTACCCAAGGAGGAAAAGAAAGAAAGACTACTTTTTGTAAAAAAGATAAAAAGAAAAGGAAATGTTCCTAGATTAGAAAAGATTTTAAATGCTAAAGTCTTATACTAAGTAAAGGATTTTTCCAAAATAGGAAAAGTGAGGGCAAAACCAGAAGGTTCAAGTATGCCAAAGGAAAATTGGTGAAAGGTGAAACTTAAATATGGGGAATATAGATATAATTTATAATATATATATATATATTTATAACTTTTTGTTATAGCAAGTTTAACATATATATGGATACATATGATATATGTGATTAAACTTGCCATAACTAAAGGTTATAAGTATAACTTAGGTGAAAATTAAATACACTGATATATAGAACTAAAACTATTTATTTGTAGCAATAAAAAGTGGACAGGCATTGTGGCTCACACCAGTAATCCTTAGGCAATATAGGCAGGAGAATCAGGTATTCAAAGCCAGTCTCCCAAAATGAATGTGGAACTAACCTGGGCCATATATGATTCTATCTCAGAAACAAAATAAAAAACAATA